AGGTTCCCAGACATCCCATCTAAACGCTTGTACAGTCAAACCTGTCTATAGCGACCGACCAAGGGAAACACAAAAAATGGCCTTTGTAGACAGGTGGTCACTAAAGCAGGTTTGACTGTATTAAAAGACATGTTTCAGAGGTATGTAAGCAAACTTTTCCTAATGACGGTTTTGTGAAACGAAGACCTGGAGAATGAAAGTGTCAGCAGGGTTGGCTGAGAATCACATTAGACGAGAATAGTATTCAGGGGAAACTACGATTTCAGTCTCGTAATATAAATAGGGCGAGAATCCCCAAAATTGTTATATCGCAATAGAAGGTCGAGATAGAATAGTATTCAGGGGAAACAACGATTTCAGTCTTGTAATATAAATAGGGTGAGAATTCCCGAAATTGTTATATCGCAATAGAAGGCCGAGATAGAATAGTATTCAGGGGAAACAACGATTTCAGTCTCGTAATATAAATAGGGTGAGAATTCCCGAAATTGTTATATCGCAATAGAAGGCCGAGATAGAATAGTATTCAGGGGAAACAACGATTTCAGTCTCGTAATATAAATAGGGTGAGAATTCCCGAAAATGTTATATCGCAATAGAAGGCCGAGATAGAATAGTATTCAGGGGAAATAACGATTTCAGTCTCGTAACATAAATAGGTGAGAATTCCCGAAATTGTTATATCGCAATAGAAGGCCGAGATAGAATAGTATTCAGGGGAAACGTCGATTTCAGTCTCATAATGTAAATAGGGTGAGGATTCCCGAAATTGTTATATCGCAATAGAAGGCCAAGAGAAGATAAGAATTCAGTGTGGGTTACCCGCCAGAATTATGTGTATCATATAAAATGGGTTTAATAATTCAAGAACACAGGTAGATCTTTGCAACATAAGGGAAGAAGAAAAGTGTTCTAACAGTGAAAGAACCTCAAGTTGGAAACTACTAAACTGACGTTAGTTAAACTTGAAGGATACTAGTGGTTTAGGAGAAAAAAGAACATACATGTGGTGGAGTGGTCCTACATTCTTGGAGCAAATTGCAAGATACTTAACATAAAGGTACTAGGCATAATTTCAGCCAATACAAAGCCGGGGTAATAATTAATGAGCCCAAGAATACAATTTCTAGATAGACGGCGCTATAGAAATGCCTATAATTATTATTATCAAATCATGCCTACGTGTACGTTTATTTGGTTTTATTTGTATCTGTGATGGCCAAAAGCACAAAGTAATGAAGGTTTTGCAGTGCACTCATGTCACTTTATGAGACATCAGAAATCGTGATGCTTGAAATTGACACTACTTTGTGAGATATTACGAAACAGTGCCTTGGTTCATGCAGAGCTTTTCTTCAGGAGACTAGGGGGGTGTTTCACAAAGGCTAAGATCAAATTTAAGTTGGACTTAACTATGGTAGGCCGTTCATGCCACTGGTTGCTCTCACAATTGGTCTCTGAAATATGATCTAAAAATGTAAATTATGTAGATATGTGGTCATGGTTTGTATGTCCCTTGAGAGACAAATGCCAGTAAACGTTGGGAGCAAACAGTGGCATGAATGGCCTGCCATAGTTAAGTCCAACTTAGTCTTTGTGAAACACTCCCCCATGGAACGGTATCGTCTTCCTGGAATAGACACAGAGAGTAACCCCTATCAAGGTATAACTAGTCTGTTTCTACAGAAGCGCTCACTAAATGTCTAGAAAGTGGGCAATGCGCGCAGTAACGCATGTCACATGACCTAGAAGCTATCATTTAAAGCCCGTCTGCACTAGTTTGGCCAGGGGGATTAGGCAACACAGCGTGGTCAATGACAGGTGGTTATCTCATCAGATCAGCTCTTAATTAACATTAAAAAAAGAGGGTCATGGGGGACCAATGGTCACCAATTAGGCATTGTTTGCTGTATAGAGGACGCCAGTAGCTTTAAGTAGTGCAGTGGGGCTTTAAGTCCAGAAACACTTCTAGGGAACCGAGAAGGCGAGCATACCCAGAAGAATCCACCTCTTAGGTACTCCATTAGCGTGAATGTGATAATCCATTTAAAGTACACGTTTCTACAGAAGCTTGTGCATACCTGGCAAATCAAGAAAATTAAAGGGCAAGTCGACCCTGATATCAAGTTGGATTTAATAAAAGCAAAAAACGAGAGAAACAAATTAGTGAAAGTGAAATTGGCAACACTGTGACTTATCTTGCGAGCTTTCCAATTTGCTCTGTACAGAAATTGTCATAAAATATTGTACATGTAGTTATTGATGATGGAATAGATATGTCTCATACAGGGGTTGTATAAAAACATATTTGCAATAATTTTATTTAGGGTGTATGTATGAATGAAAATTTTCTGAAGGGAAAATATAATTTTTTACGGGGCATATGGAAGGGGGCCTGGCAAGACACGTCACAAAGTTACTAATTTGTGTTTGATTGATCGCACCTTCAAAAATTCAAAACTTTCTTATTTCCAATCGTTTTTTGGGTCAAAACTTTTACTGACCTGTTTCTCTCATTTTCTGCTTTTATTAAAACCAACTAAGCATCAGAATGGACTTCCCCTATAATTGTCTTTGGAATGCTGTAGATACACTTCACTTCAAAGCATGAGAAAATTTGATACACGTTTTTATAAAGGACGGAGTAACATATTGTTAAAAATTAGTTAAACTGGAAAAAAAGTCAATTCATGACAGGGTATTAGTACTAACAGGCAAAGATAAACAGAAACAAGGTTAGATTGAAAATGTTTTGTAAAGAAAATATCTAAAGGAATATTTGCTTAATATCAAATGAAAGGTACCTTCGCAAAACCCGCTGGCATGAAAAATGGTTCGAGAAATAAATTGCTATTCCTAAAGATATTGGTGCATAAACATGTGTAAACTAGCTTTATAAAATTATATAAATGAAGAAAAAAAATTGTTTCTTATACCAGTTGTGAAAAACCAAACATATTTGCAATGATCATATAGGGTGTGTGAATGCATTTTCTTTTGAGAAAATATCCTTTTTTTTTTTTTTTTAAGTGCATAGCAAATAGGAAAAATCACTGCAAGATACACAACAAAGTTTTTCAAGTTGTGTTTGATTGATTCCAAATTCAAAACTTTAAACTTACTATGTTTCATGAGACTTTTTCTCAAAACGTGTACCGATCTGTTTCTCTCAGTATTCTGTTTCAGATTAAAACCAAACAAATACAGGTATATCTTTTGCATGTAGCACAGGATCAGAACATTAAGGGTCTGCCTCTATGCAATGAAAACAGGCACAAGCCTTTCTGAATAATTATTGTAAAAATGTTATGAGTTGTTGATGATCGCCCTATTTCCCGCAGACTGCAAAATCAGATTAATCTGAAATTTCTCAGGTCATAGTTTCACAGTATTCCCAATGCCTTTCATGCCGACAGGTTTCGCTATTTAAGCTACTTTGTACAAAGTAGAAATCACAGGTTTAATCTTCAAATGATTGGAAATGGACAAAACAAAGTTTTGAAACAGCAGAATTGAATCTGATGTAAACTACAGCCATCTCACACCTTACTCTACAACTGGATTTTGATAGAAATTAAAATAGCACAACAGTATTCATCTTCTAAATTTTGCCTGAGGTCTCAAACAAGCATAATACTTATATAGGGCTACACACTAATTTTGTGGAATTGGGAAGGGGGGGGGGGATTGAAGTTTGTTAGTCTGAATCAACATTTGGGGGATCTAGGCTGAGATTTTGGGTGCCTGTGTGTTCTGGGTGCCTGTGAGCATTGAGCCCTGATTAATAGACAAATTAAATGATATTTGAGATCTTCACTGTGATGGCTACCAGTTAATGATCATCTGTTGTGACTGGTAGACATAGGAAAGATTAGCAGCCTACTACCTTTTCGTCCTACTAGAAAGCTTGCAACACCCTGCAATTTTTAAAGAAAGTTTGGGAGCTCAATTGGGAAAAATTTGCACTGAACCATCATTTATTTAAATAAATCCAGTTATAGTTAGGTTGAAAGGTGTTCCAGTCCAGACCCTCAACCACCCCTTTATTTTCCAGCCTACAGTATGGCAGTGGTGGCAATATTATAAAATGACAACTCTATGACTCAACCTGCGATCTCTAAATGATAGACATCAGTGTTAGTAAGAGGTCTCAAACACAACTACATTGCAGTTACTAGTTAGTACTAATCTAACATGCACAATCCAAACAACAGAGAATACAAGAGAGAAAACATGAGGTACAAACAACTTGTGCAAAACTGACCACCATCAAAGAAAGTGCAAATTTTGGGATCGCCAAATTTGTAATTGCAGAAGAAAATTAAGAGAATATTTAAGTGCAATTTAAGAAAATCAGTTTTAGTTTGGGGGCAAAAACTTCTCATGTTTGGTCATGGATTACAATGTTGTACTTGAAATAAATCAATTTTAATATAGTTTGTTGTATCCAAATTTTTCTTTTGAGTGTGTGTGATGTGTGAACATCCCTTTTCCATGCATTTAAATTTGATATTAGAGACTCCTTTTATTTTTTATTTAAAAGATGCAAGTAACAGTATTGTAAAGTGTTTAAATAATTATTTAGCTTCTTTGGGATTCTTTCCCCAGTTTTGGACAACGAGCACAAACAAGTATGGACAGGGATAAAGGTTGCAACAACAAAAAACAAGCCAAAGATTTCGAAATTCAATGGAAATTGAGAATCATGCTAGTAGAGACCCACCTACTAACACGAGTTGAAAATGTGCTGGTTTTTAGAGAGAACATCAGTTTTAGTGGATATAAATGTAACATACATGTAAAGTTGTGTGTGTAAGAAATTTGGGAAACTGGGTTCAGGTCACCACTGAAACCTAGTTGACCACTTCTAAACGAAAGAAGAAGAAAAGCAAGGAAAGAAAGAGCCTTGGGAAAACCTAAATACTTTGACAACAAAGTTAATTAATCGATTGAAACAAAAATAAAAAAATAGCAAGCCAGACACAATCAATCAACCTCACCAGACATAGACACGGCAGGTACCCCAGGTACAGCGGTAGATTCTGTTGGTTCCGCAACTGCAGCGGGGGCAGCGTCCATCGGCGCCTCAAGCTGTTGGCTCGGTTCTGCCTTTGGCTCTGAGGGAACCTGTGCGGTTTCAGAAGGGGGTTCTGAGACATGGATCTCGGGGATCTGCATGGGCTCGGGCAGTTGATGTTCTTCAGCAGGGGTTGGCAAGATTTCAGTTGATTGCTGGGTGGCCTCTGATGCTGAGGATTGTTCTTGAGTTGCAGGTTCACTTGGGAGTCGTATTTCAGGAATGACCGGTTGAATGACCTGTGGCTCTGATGGCTCAAAGGCCTCAGGAATACTAGACACCTGGGACTCATGCGCAGTAGGTACCTGCTCCATCGCCTCAGGGGTTTCAACAACATTGTCCTCAACGTCCATAGGGGTTGCATCAGGCTCTGCTTCTGGAACCAAAGGTTCCGTCAGCTGCCCAAGGGTGGCCACTTGGGCCTCTGGGTAAGAGTCTGTTTGTGGAGCAATGGTAGCGATTTCAGATTGCATGCCTTGCGCTCCAGGAGCATTTGTGGCTATTTCAGATTCTGGGACTACGGCTTGAGGAGCAGGTACCTCTTGCTCCTGATGCATTGTGACTCGTGGCACTTCTTCGACTGGCTGAGACACATCTTGGACCTCCGGTAACGATGACTGGGAATCAACCTCTGGGATTGCTTCGAACCTCTCCTCATCGACCTCTACAGGTACTATGGAATCAACGCTGGATGATTCTGCTGCTACCTCTGGAACAACCTCTGGCGCTACTTCTGGAGCAGCCTCTGGTTCTTTAACTGGTTCTACAGGCCGTTCTACAGGCGGTTCTACTGCTTGTTCTGAAGCTGTTTCAACTGGAGGTGTTGGGGGTGCTCTTTCTACACTCTCTTCCGCTCGAGGAACTGATTCTAGGAGGGAAAAATTGTTGGATAGGTGTATTGCACATAGAATATGGTAAGGAAGGTGTGATTGAGAACAAAGAAATGGACAAAGTCTCAGTTTTTAATTGTTGCAGTGAGGGTACAAGATTGCCATGCCTATAAATTAAAGTGCACTTTTGAACAAGTGCAGTTTGAGTATTTTATTTCAAGAAGATTCAGTGCCTTATAAATCTCTTACATTATTATTAGTACTGAAGTCATCGAACCAATTACTATTTCATAATTTTAACGCAGTTGTCATTTCGATTAGCTTAAATCCATGCAAAATTTTGATCACCATTACATAAATTGTATATTGTCATCCAATTTGACCTTGCTTTTGAAGTATTTTGTAATTTGGGTTACCTGAAAACTCCTCAGTTTATACAGTTGCAGACTTGCAGTTTTAAATAATTTAGGATGTACAAGATGATTTAGCACAAAATATTTGCATTATGTATTTGCCTGTGATGGTCACTTACTTAAAGTCCCTCTACAGTGTTGAGAGCCCCAAAAATTTGATGGCAAAATTTCACTTAAATTGTATCATAATGTGAAAGAGGATGTCATTTATACAGACACATTTCTGCAAGGACTTTAAAAACAAATGTGTTTGAAGTAAAATATTGATGAAAGAAAACAAAATTTAGGTTTTTCTGTTGTACGCAGAAAACCTAAATTTTGTTTTCTTTCATTCAAATGTGTTTGAAGTCAAAAATTGATGAAAGAAAACAAAATTTAGGTTTTCTGCAACAGAAAAACCCAAATTATGAATTTGGTTGATTGGTTGAGCACCTGTGTGCTTTGACCAATAGGCCTTGTCCGTTATTGTTCTAATTATTTGACCGCCGGTCCACCCGTAGAGTATAAAACACGCTTGCTTACAATATATTTTATCATCTGACGAAGTGTAGCAGCGGCACAAGAAACGTTGTGATCTTTTAGATCCCTTGTTGAACATACATTGCGAGACAAACGAATGTCACTAGCGACATTATTTTTCGATACTATATCCGCATTATGTATTCTTTTATCAATATTTGTCTTCAAACCCTTTTTTTTGGGGGGGGGGGGGGAATCTTTGCAGAAGTGTGTCTTAAATGACATCCTCTTTCACATTATGATACAATTTAAGTAACATTTTGCCATCAAATTTTTGACGAGTTTGGGGGGCTTTAAGAGACCAGTGTCATACTTATTCCTTTCTTTTTTATTTTATTTTAAAAATCGTGATTGATGAAAACCAATCAGGCACGGATGCCTCAATAGATTTCAACATGTGAGATGACCATTGGGTTTGCCTTGACTTGGTACATCAAGTACCTAAAACCTAGTTTGTGCAGATCAGAAAGATTTCCAATTTTACACTAGCTAAAACTTCATGCCACAATTCATTCTCCTATTATATCAGCATCCTGTCATCAAAGATTTACTGACCATTTACATGGCCAAAAGCACATCTGACCAATCGTGTTCATTGAGAAAACTCTTCCTAGAGAATTTAATTTTTTGAAAGCAAAATGGACTTTCAAGAACAGGAAATGAACAATAGAAAGTCTTTTTAAAAAATGGACAAAATTTGTTTCTTTATTTTGTATAAAAAGAACTGTGGCATGAACTTTCACGTAGAGTAAAATATAAATTCTGGCCATCTTTCTGACCTGCACAAGCCCAGTGTAGGTATAAACATGTAAAAAGATCAATGCAAAATCTATATGGTTGTCTCACATATATATACATTGTATATATATATATATATATATATATAGAAATTAATGTGGCAGTTTGTTTTGATCTCGGTCCTGTCTATGAGCCAAAATAACTCCGGCCTAGTTATGGATCCAAGCTAAGCACAACAGCAATTGTAAATAAAGGGATGACATTAGAATTTTGTAACCTTCAAAAAGAAATTAGAATGCCTGAATGCAATTTCCACTTAAAATAACCTTCACAGGCAAGGTCAAATGTGGCCATCTAACCTTGTACGCTCATTGCAACAATTGTAACACAATAAAGATGAAGAAAACATAGACGGAAGCTGTAGAAAAGCAAAAACAAACAGAGGAAATCTGTAAGTGGTCCATTGAAAGTAAATATGGCGACTCCTCACAAGAAATTGATGGAAGATGTAATGAAAAGTAGGTATAATGGCTGTTGGAGGAAAAAAGGAGAATGATTAAGGATGCCATTTAACAATTTTTCCATAAATATTTGTGGAAGGAAAGTGGAAACAGAAAGATAGAATATGATATATCATTTGCGGGGAGAATGGAGAAAGTGTTTTGTTTTTGTAGGATACAAGAAGACGGTAATAAAGAGATGGATTATTAACGGACAATGCAACAAAAGGCAAATAGAGAAGAATGAAACTTGTCTCCATTATACACAATATTCAGAACTAAAGTACGTTAATAAGGGAAGAAGAGATACTGAGATAGGGAGACTATAAATTGGATAAACAAGAGAGAGAGACACACACACACCCACTGAAAGGGGCGGGGGAGGAGGAAATAAGAGAAATGCTAGATCATCTAATAAATACTGTAAGGGAGAATGTGTGTTAAAATGGTTACCATTAACAGAAAAACACGAGATGATTATGGTGAGTACTTCAAAAGACCCAGGATAAGTGGAAATTAATTTTCAGGGATCTAAGAAATGACATCAGCAATACTCATCTATTTTTCTAAACTTTTATCAATACCAAGTCGATTCCATGGTCCTGCTGCCCTTTCACGCGATCTCCTGCAGAAATACCCTTGAGATTTCATCTAAATCTATAATTACATTTTAATTAAAAGCACAATGAGAATTGCTACAAATGTCCTGTCCTGGAAGAATATTCAATGTGATAATTGGCTAATTAACATAATGTAGCAAATGCTGTAATAAAAATATTTCTACGTATCATCATACACACTTCAAGTAAAGTATTTCCAATCACTATTATTTTTTTTTGGTCACTGTACAAAAACTTAAATTTATTCTTCGTTGAAAAATACAGAAGAAAAAAATACAATACATCTGCATGATAACAACTAAGAACATTTCTTAATAAGGGGAAGATATCATTTCCTTCTGTAGCATGACTTAAATTAGTGAACGGTTAAAGGGTCTGATTGATCAGACTAGTCGATATAATCCTATTGATATTGCATAACTCACATAAGCCCAACTTTCCTTGAAAGAGAGAATAGAATGCCCGTAGACAAAAATCCCAAGCTATCTTATTGTGCAACACAAGTTGGTACATAATCTACACAATAGACTGATTCCTAAATAAATCTCAAGTCCTTGAAAGGGGGGAACATAGATGGATCAATTTCACTGTTATACGATCTCTTACAAGATAGAACAATTCTAAATTGAGGTTTGCCCTCCCCCCCCCCCCTTTCCTCTCCTAGTGTCCTTGATAATAACATAATATACTCTGTAATCCTTTCAATAGTAGCCCCTAGATTTTGAAATGAAGAGTGTTACTGTTGGAAAACTAATTCCAACACATTATTTTACAGGAGCCTGGTACCCAAGTCTACCATCTGTTTTTACTCACCCAGCCTTGTAACTATGTTTCTTTGGTCACACTACAGGGGGGTGTTTCACAAAGATCCTAAGTTGAACTTATCTCTAAGTTGGACCTAACAATTATGGAAAGCCGTTAGCATATTTAAAAATATTTTGTAAAAGTTATTTTAAATGGCATAAAATGTTGATTCAAATCATTCATCAAGGAGAATTCGTGTTCTCAATGTGGAATTTATAAAAAGTCTAAAATACTTGAATTTTTGCTTTTGAATAAATTTATTTTAAGGCTACAAATGGCTCTCCATAATTTTCAAGTCTAACTTAGAGTTAAGTTCGACTTGGGATCTTTGTGAAACTCCCCCCAGCTCTTCCCAAGATACAACTAACATTCATCAAGATGTCTTTTAAAAAAATATATACATTTACATGACTGATTTGATTGACGTGGCAAAATAACTCCCACACATTTATTATTCTTTTTACAGGTTCCTGGTCCTAAAAACTATCATTGTTTTACTGTCCCTAGGTATAGTACGCTTTGTGACCAGTTTGTCTATTTGGTTAGACTAGATACCTCCCAATATACAGTACAACTTGTATTTATCAAGAATGTTTTAAAAAATAACATGAATGATGTGATTGATAATTTCAACTAACTCCTTATTTTTTTTATTTCACAGGAGCCTGATTATAAAGGCTAATAATTATATATTATATATTATTTAAGGCTATCATCTTTTTAATTTCCCTAACTGTTTAAAGCTTTGAGATGAGTTAGTGTCCTTGGTCAGGACAGTTCTTCTCTAAACTGCATTCATCGAGAATGTTATCCGGAAGAATCCATAAAGATGTCATTGCTATATTAAAGCAAGCTAATCCTAAAGCAAAAATCAGCAGAGATTCCAGAGAAACAAGTTAAATCAAATCTAAATATTTAGATTACTGAATAGTAAATACCATTCCAATGAAGTTGATGCTCCCAGGAATAACTGAAATAAAATACATTTCAATTCATCTGTAGATCCAGTTGAATGGCGTCTGCACTCGAGTCGACATTCAGCGGGAGTGGGGGGGGGGGGGGGGGGGGGGGGAGAAACATACATAGATAATATCATCATATCGGACATACCAACAAATTCTAATTAAAAGGAAATATATTTCAATATATCTGTAGATCCAGGTGGATGGCATCTGCACCGGAGTTGATATGATCGGGGGGAAAAAGAACATAAGTAGATAAATAATCATCAAATTGGACATACCAATATTTCCAATCAAGACAAAATTTGAGAAAACAAGGAACACTTCATATTTGTACCTTCTTTTTTCTTTCCATCTCCCTGAGGTCCAACGTCATCTTCCATCTTCTCCTCCTCCTCCTCTTCCTTCTGTTCTTCTGGAGCAGCTGTCTCCTCTGCAGGTGCCTCCTCCTCCTCCTCCTTCTCCTCTACCTCCTTGGGAGCCTCTGGCATCTCGGCATCGTCACCATCCGCTTCGTCCTCTTCGTCTTTCGATACCTTAACAAATCATGGAAAAATAAAAAACTCTTTAATTTATACAAGGTACCAAAGTTTACTCAAGAGTTGTAACAAATAAGCTTTTTCAGAGGGACATTTGAAGATGTAATTCTTTGGTCCTAGGTTAGTTGGGATAAAAAAAAATGTTCCATCTTATGAAGTTGTCCATAGTATTACAGCATCGTCACCATAGGCTTCGTCCTCCTCGTCTTTCGATACCTGAAAAAATCATGGAAAGAAAAAAAAATCCATTACTTCTTAAGTTCTTATGAGGTAACAAGGTTTACTAAGAGTTCTAACGAATTTGCTTTTTTAGAGTTAAAAATTGTGAGATGTAATTCTTTGGTCCTAAGTTAGTTGGCATAGAACAAATGACCATCTTATAAAATTGTCCATAGCATCACGGCATCGGCTTGGTCCTCGGCTTTCGATACCTGAAAAAATCATGGAAAGAAAAAAAATCTTTACTTCTTACGAGGCAACAAAGTCTACTTAGAGTTGTAATGAATTTGCTTTTTCAGAGTTAAAATTTTTGAGATATAATTCTTTGGTCCTAGGTTAGTTGAGATAAAAAAAATTTAAAAATCCATCTCATGAAGTAGTCCATAGTATCACAGCATCGTCACCTTCGGCTTGGTGCTCCTCCTCTTTTGACACCTGAAAAAATCATGGAAAGAAAAAAAAAATCTTTACTTCTTACGAGATAATAAAGTGAAGAGTTTTAATGAATTTGCTTTTTCACAGCGACCATTTGAAGATGTAATTCTTTGGTCCTAGGTTAGTTGGGATAAAAAAAGGTTCTATCTCATGAGGTTGTTTACAGCATCATCAACATCAGTCTGGTCTTCCTTGTCTTCCGATACCGTAACGAATCATGGAAAGAAAAGCAAAAAATTCTTTAATTTGTACGAGGTAACAACGTTTACTCAAGAGTTACAACAAATTTGCTTTTTCAGTGTTAAAAATTTGAAGATGTAATTCTTTGGTTCGATGCTAGTTGGGACACAAAAATGTTCAATCTTATGAAATCGTCTATGGCATTCCAGCATCATCACCATCAGTTTGGTCCTCCTTGTCTTTGGATACCTTCAAAATCATGGAAGGAAACAAACTTCATTCACCAGATCGATTTAATTCAAGTCACTTTGAGCTCCTGATAGGGAAATTATAAAAATGTATTTTTTTCATTCCTTATATTAGATAAAGGAAGGTCCTATATTTTAAAAGAGGAAGTCCACCTTGATATCAAGTTGGTTTTAATAGAAGCAGAAAAATGAGAGGAATAAAAATGTGAAAGTTTGAGCAATATCTTATTGACAATAGGAAAGTTAGCAATTGTTGAAATCGCCACCAGTGAAACACAATTTGGCAACAATATGGCATATGATCTTGTGATGTCCCATCCCATATGCCCTGTACTAAAAAAAAATCCAAAAAAATCCAGAACCACTCATTACAAGTTTTCTTTATAAAATTCTTTAAAATATATTTCTTATAATTTCCAAAGCATCATTGGAACAAGCATAGAAAGGCGCCTGTATAGAAATACCACAGCCTGAAACTTTTTAGTCTCTTCTCAGTGGTCTTTATAAGCTAGCCCTGTTTCATAAAACTTGTTATCATTTATATCCATAACAAACTTTGCAGAGTTTTTATGACAAATTTGCTCTCAGCCAATTAAATGCCACAACTTCAGTAGCTTGTAACGGTTAATGTAACTTCTTATTCATAACAAGTTTAATGAAACAGGGCAAAGGTTCCTTCGTAACCTCACTATACTACCTTTGATTCTGGTTCTTCTTCCGGCGTTTCTTCTGCTTTTCGTTTACGTCCCCTTCCTGTTGTCTTTTTCTCTGGTGTGGCGGCAGGCAACGACTTGGGGCGACCTCTCGTCTTGCCAGGGCTTGTCTTCTTAGGGGGAGGAGGGGATGACCTTCGACCCCGGGTCGGAACCTCGGACATGTCCACCTTGGGCTGCGTGGCTATCCTGGCGCTACGACGACCAGCTGGGGCTGCCGACCTGTCTGTTGACTGAGATCTGCGTGGCATGGTGGACTATGATTTTTCAGAAGCAAAAGAAAATAATCCGGAAATTCAATTTGTCTCGTTAGTCAAAGCAAGAAACAAATGACTATCCAGCTAAGTTTCAGGTGATGAATTTTTCAGTGAATTTGCCAAATATAAACATGTTCATTAGCTTTAAGAAGAAATAGAAAGGAACAAGTACTTAAATGAACTAAAAACAAAAATATATAGATCTATGACTTTATGATAATAGCAATTAACTGAGTGAACTAAGGTGCATGCAGGGAGTTTGATTAATTAAGCGAACTCCCTGTGCATGCCTTGTTATTGTAATCGCTGTTGCTGTTGAAGTATCAAGTTGGCAACGCGAAAACAGGCATTTTCGCATACAACACATGCACTTGTGTTTGTGGCTGAACCAACATCGTGAACTCTTGGCAGGGGTTAGCAATTTTTGTAATGTACATCACAGGTTAGCTCCCTTTAAGAAGAAAAAAAAGTAGTTAGCTATCTCCAGAGCCAGTTGGCAAGGTTCATCGGGTAAGGGGATCGGTGATTAAAAAAAAGACGCATTTGAGGGTTTGTTTACATCACTCTTCGCGCAGGCATATTGGCTAGGCGATATCAATATCTTAATTCACTTTTTCAATAAGTCCAACAGTTAGCCATTTAAAAAAATAAAAATAAAAAATCAACAACAAACACCAATTTACAATGTTAAATTCCAGCAAAAGTAGTCTAGAAAATAGAAATGTGTATTATGTGAGAAAGCATTTCGACATACCTGTTTTTAGAATTATAGAGAACAAATTGTGATTCATTCCTTGAAATATCAAACATTACAAATGCAAGTTCACAACATAGCACATTATAAATCTGTATCGGCTAAACGACTGTGAAGAGTCTACACACGTGCACACTCGACTTGGCTCCTCTCATTTGATCGAACGTGCAAAATACGTACAAAGTTCCTATACAAAATGCACGCACGTAAAATGCCCGCTGTATTGCGAACAATACATCTACGACATCATGATCATACAAACACATTTATTCTCATTTTTAACGATACACACATTTGAAATAACATTCTAATAAATCTACACTACTATTACGAGCTTACATTGATCAACGATCGACAGAAAAATAAAGAAGAAAGGTAGAAACCGAGCCAAAATCAGGCAGACGTTGCGTAGCTTCCCTCTGACTTGCACGCTTGCCTCGATTTAAGGTGACCTTTGTGTATTTTTATTTGACCCCAAAGCCCGCGAAAAGGGCGCCCTCAAGTGAATGCTTTAAAAATTGCGAGAGCTAGAGTTTACGAGCATCGACGAACTGTATGGCCCGAATTCACAAAGAAGGTTTGTCGACAAACCTTGGTTTTCGTACGTCATATGACGCGTTTTACGCGTTTTTTTACAAACCTGGTTTGTAAAGAACAAAAGGAGGTTTGGCGAAACAAAAGGAGGTTTGAGCTCAAACCTTGCTTTGTGAATTCGGGCCTATGCGTTTTCTTTTCTTGGAAATTATTTTTGGGCTATTTTTTTTTCTCACTATTTTTTCCCCTCAAAGTCCGAACACGAGAATTCACAAACATTCAAATTTCTATCTTTCTTTCTTCAGTGGGAACACTGCTGTTAGAGGTTCTTTTACTCTATAAGGAAAGGTTCCGGGTTCGATCCTGCACTAGATGCTAATAACCCGCCCCCCCCCCCCCCACTCCAGGGTCGGAATGCATGACCGCATGCGTGTTACCAAAATGTCCGGTAAAGGGGTACTTTTCGTGCGACAAAGTCCGCCCAAGAATTGTAAAAAAGGGGGTGTATTTGACTTTTCACCCGGAGATTTCTTTTAAAAGAGTTTTTTCTTCTTTTTTTTCTCTCATCTCTTTGGACGCCTGAGAAATTATTCCGAATTTAGGGGGTACATTGAGCATTTTTCCGTATTTAGGGGGTCTCCAAGGCAGGAAAAGTCCGCGAAAAGCCCGCGATAGGGGGGTTCGGAAATGTTGGCAGTCCTCAGATAGGGGGTGCTTTCAAAAAGAGGGAACGAGCATACGCGTACCCTACATAACACTGAGTGGGGGGGGGGGGGGGCGGGGCGGGGCGGGGCTAATAAACATCCTTGGAAATAGTGTCCCTCTCTGATGGGGGTAATGATGAATGCATGGTCCTCAGGAAAAATATTACTAATGCTGACGAGGCCCCAATTATGGGTAAATCAGTTTGTCGTTTTTATTATACTCTACCCTGTTTTGCCGTAATACCTCGAGGACTTCTTTTAATTTTTGTTTTCATAATTATTATTGAATGTTCGGTATTGTGTATTAATCCCTGTCAACCCCAGGCCAATGTTTATTTGATCCGGTATATTTATTTCAATTTTAATAGACCACCGTGTAACTCTACTCTTTCTCCTTCTCCTTCTTCCCCTTCTTCTTCTTCTTCTTCTCGATCTTTTTCTTCGATCTGGCGTAGTATTTTCGTACTGCCTAGATGCTATAAACCGTTTAATTGATTTTATTGATTTAAGTTTGTCGGTATATATAAGCCACCATGGACAATAGCGTTGATTTCAGTTCATATTTCAACAATTATTGATATGTGCAAAGGACATCCAAAGTTAAGGTCCGGTGGTTTTCATTAAAAACATCCTACCGTTTAGGTTTTTTTTTCAACAGGGATTGGGTGTAATCTTCAAACCGATGGCGCTATTATGGGGATAGTCGGGGGGGGGGGGGTGGAAGGAGGAGGGGAAGGGGTGGGCATGAGTCTAAAATAATTTACATGAGGCTATATTTTGTATAGTACCGTTGGAATGCATGTGACTTGTGAGTAATCTTTGGGGTGAATGTGGGAAGGCACCTGTCAACTTCTTTTCTCGCTAGGAGAGGGGGTACATATATGATCATGAATGTTGCCCGCAACTTGCCCCTCCCTGTGCTATATAAGTCCGCTTGTAGGAAGGCCTTCACGTTTAAATCCCCCTTGACCGAAAGGGCGTGCAGGAGGTGGGGAGGGGGGGGGGGGAATCTGCCGGCATATGCCAACTTTAACTTGCATCTCATTTGTCTATTTCGTTCATTAGACCATAATGGCAGGCTAAAAAGGAAATTAACTTTTAACTTTAACTCCATGCATGAAACCCAGTTTAAATTTTATGAAATGTATAGGCACTGTGTTCTCAAAAATAATACCTATACGTTCTTAATCTCTCGCATAAGCACAAACGCGTACTAATGGAAAGCATATCGCCTTTTCGCTTCGTATTCTTTTCAGAAATGTGATATGGGTAATCTTTATTCGCAAAAGTATTGAAATGAATCCAATAGACCGGCTTACTAACATAGGCCTATTCATATTTTATGCAGATTTTCCTGGACAACCTGAAGGCTTAGACGAGGCTTGACCGTCATAGCAATTAATTATGTTTGCAGACTGTATTCCGAGTAATATAGTTTATTAATTATTGTGGCTATCGTAGCCTCGTTTAAATGATAATCTTAATGAATTATTTCTATTTGTCTGTCGCTCCAATTTGGGGTATTCTGAGGAGGCTAGGAACAGTGTGTGGTATATGTGTTGAAGTGTGGTCGGGTGGTGTGTGTTTGCAGGGTGGGGGAGGGGGGGGGGGGTAGTAGTGTGTTTGGTTGAATGGGGATATTGTTTTATGTTACAACTGATTTCATTTTTGTTTTCATCAATCGTACAATCTATGTAATGACAATGTATTGAAGTCATGTCAAGGAAAAACAACTGTAATTTTATTTCTAAGATTGATTTGTATTGTTTGGAATCAATAAAAAAAATGAAAAAACTATTAAGAAAATGAAAAAAAATAAAAATAAAAATGTAAAACTTGTACTTAGTCAGTATAGGTCCCCAGGTAAAAAACATCCGAAGATATGAATACGTCTATTACAAACAATTTATCTTGCATTATTTTGAGAACAAAAAAACAACCAATTAAACAAACAAACAAAATGGTCAAAAGTTTAATCGCTTCAACTGAGGTTTGAAAAAAGGACTTTAGGATTTGCCTCACTTTGTTGCTATCAAGGTACGGTCATTATAGGCGATTTATCTACATTCTTCTACTCCTTATTGTGTCCAAAATGACCGCATCGATCCGACCGGCGAGTTCTCAATCAAGCGTATCATCGCTACAATGCATTTTGTAAAAAGAGTCCCGATTTTGGAGGTATTTTGAGGTTTCTTTAGGCCTATTATTAGAGAGTGAATGCAACGTAATACAAGAAGTTACTACCCCACAACCATAACCAGTGGCAGTGCACTTTGTGTACAAATTCACCGCCTGTATAACAAGAGCACTCTGTGAAGGAATAGCCCCGCCTTTATTTATTATACGCATAAGGCGCCCCGGTCGATATCGTCTCCGTTGTAAGCCGACATCGAAGAAAAACTACGATCCACAGTTTCATCACCAGCTCGATCTCCGGGTGATATATTTTGTCTCCAACAGGAGTTAATTGATGCGACAACTGATGGTTTGTTGAGCTTCTTCCAAACCGGGTTATTCAATATTCTGTAAGTTATTTCTGCGAATTTATTTCTCGATCATAGCTGCCTTTCCATTTCAGTCTCTCGATCCTTTATCTCGCATGATCGGCAGGTCTTTAAAGTCTTAATTCTACTTGTTGGTACTCGACTGAATATATTGCTCATCAAAACGTCAATATATATCCGAGACCATGCTCACTAAGAAACCGATTTGACACAGTCTGTACTCAGCTACTTATATACATATATATATGTTTAAACATATTATTAAACAAAAAACATTTATAGGGCCTAAATATACCACTTTATGATAAAATACGTTAACGCTTTTATAAATATTTTTGTATAACAATGTGTTCTTCATGGTGTATTTTTATGTTGGGTCTATTGGCAAACGACATTATAATGCAAAGTGATACCTGTAAATTGGGTTTTTCCTGTGCTATTAGGCCTACGTGTCCTTCGCTAAAGTACGATTTAAGGTGATGTTAGTATAACAATATTACTTATGTTATGTATCGTATATACTATTCATTATGAATGTGTAAATATAATTCATAACGACATCTAAAAGTTATTCCGATTGTTTGCTTATTTCAAAATTCACATGCCTAACTCTGCGAGCAAACAACGTGAAAACGTATACTTGAATAATATTTATATCGACTTTGTATTTATTCAATTATTAATTGATTAATTTATATCTTGCAATTTACCAACTAGTGTAAGCCCATTTCGAGTAATGATAATAACAACAGTAACAACAACAGCACCAACTATGATAGTAATATTAACACTTTAATTACTATACTAGTAGTAACGATATACACTATAGATAATGATGATAATGATAAGGTTAATGATGATAATAATATTGTTATTTTATAATTGATATTATCATTATAATTAGTATTATCAACGATAATAATAATAATAATAATAATAATAATAATAATAATGATAATAATGATAATAATAACAATAATAATAATAATGATGATAAAATGATAATAATGATAATAATAATAATAATGATAATAATAATGATAAGAAGGATGATAATAATAACAAGAAGAAATAAATGTTATTAGAAAATTTGTGAATTTACTGCTTTCTATTTCTTTTACAGACTTGCACTGACTGAAGTGTACACACAAACAAGATGGATAACAGCACAGGAGACACTGCCTGCACAGCGACAGATGCTGATCATTTCTTTCTGATTGTTATGTCATGTATCATCTTTTGTAAGTATTGATCCCCCAGCATCGAAGGAAGATAGTGAATAGATAGGTAGAGAAAAAAAAAGAGAGAGAGAGAGAGAGAGAGAGAGAGAGAGAGATGAAATTAAAAAAAGGCAGAAGAGAACAGGAAAAGGAAAGAAGTAGAAGAGAGAGGGAAAGGGAAAAAGTGAGAGATAGAAAGAGAAAGAGCAGAGAGACGCACACAGAGAAATAGATTTTTGGATTGAAATGGGGACATAGAGGAAGAGATTCAAGAATCTTTTGAAATTGAAGGGGTTGCGCAATGTCGCTCGTAGGGTTTCTTTTCAAAGCTTCAAATGACATGACTAGTGTCTATATCTCTACAACTAGATTCGGTCCAGCGAATCATATTGAAGTTCTCAAGAATAGATTACTGAAAGCAACTTTGAAGCTCGAAGTAGACTGCCCATATGCCTAGTGAACCATACACAACAGAACAGCCTTTCGCGTCTATATAAGCATGTTAATGTACAGGGTATGTCCAAGGATAGGATGGAGTGCTAGCCACATTTTGATCCAAAAGTGTACAGACCGTTTATTATAACACATTTGTGCTAGTGTTTTATTGATTTCATTAATGAATTTATTTACTATACACACTAAGAAAAAATGGTGAAAGTATGCACCTTTAGGGGTGCAAACCGATGCAACACTGGCAGCACAATTTAGGGGTTAAATCCTGCACCCTTTAAAAGGGTGCCAGACTGCACCTTTTAGGAGACATGTTAGTCCCCTGAATGGTTCAATCCTGCTCCATTAGGGGTACAAACCGATGCAATAGCAGCACCTTTTAGGGGTTCAATCCTGCATGCACCCTTTAAAAGGTGCAATCCTGCACCCATACTCGAGGAATACTCGTGAAATTTGCTCGTACACAAATACATATTAAACATGCACGTAGTTTCTCGGTTAATAATCATATAATCAATATATCTATTGCTAAAACGTGAATGTAATTGTAACATGTTCAGACAAAATAATCTATTTGTTTAATGATTGCCGAAGGAAAATACAAATCACAAAATTGATGTGCATTGTCATAAGTTGCTTAACAAATCATGATAAATGTATTTTTATGTGAACACGTGTAAAGGAATCATGAATATGTATGCAATATGCAAACTTTTATTTTGCACCCCTTTTTTGCACCTTTTTTCTTATCGTGTATATTTACAAACAATTACCCATTCAGTAGACAATCAAATAAATGGAATGAAACAAACAACCCAAAAGTAAAAAAAAAAAACATACAAAATCAAACAGCAAGCAAAAGTAAAGTATCAAACTGAATGAATGGATGAATAAATGAATATATGAATAAAAGTGTGTACATACATTTATAAATCAATGTGGAATGGATGATTATGTGCCGTATATCAGATAAATCCGCAGGGTGGAAACGACAAAACAAAATAGCCCTATACTTATACACCTTGGTCGAAAGTGGCATAAGTTGAATAATGTCTTGCTATCTATCCCTGTAATTATTTACCCTTTTCATTCCCGTACATGCATCAGGGCAGCGTTTCACAAAATTGTCCGAAGTACACGTTCGCCGAGATCTCATACAATGAACACGTGTTTGAATGGGATGTCGTGAACTTGTACTTTAGAAAGGTTTCGTGAGACGATGCCCTCATTTATTAATATCACATTCGTAATGACTATTTTTATCTTTACATAATTTTTTCCTCAAACTTCAAGTGATGCAGATGGGGTTTGCCTTCCTCGAAGCTGGATCAGTGCGCGCCAAAAATACAACCAACATTCTTCTCAAAAACCTGCTCGATGTTTGTAAGTACCGTATCCCCCCCCCCCAAAAAAAAGAATTAAATAACTAAATAAATAAATCATAATTATAATTCATGCATATTCTAAATACTGGGTTAGGGCCTTACACGATTCGCATTTTCAAAATGCTGATGAGATAGGCCTATATGTTGTACAAATTATTTTTTATTCGTGCACACAAAAGTGTGAGCTATTTCAAAATTACAAGATAAGTATGTATTTTCATAAATTGTTAGATTTGTATTATCAATAAACATAAAATGGTACGTAACATTTTGAATCATCCTTGATATAAGCATATTTTGTTAACACCAAGTTTCATCTCCACGATTTCATTAAATGGATCGTTTAACAATGTTAAATCTGGGATACACGGTCCTACATGTTACCAGTGTCTGTGATATGGTGTAATATTGAAGCCCTAAAAAATCGCGCTTCAAAATGATCAAGAAGTGTCTCAAAAAAGTAAATATCTTTGAGTGACTGGTTTTACCATACTCGTTTTCCCCAATAGACTGTAGTGTTATAAAAACCGTTCGGCGAACGGTTTTCAAAATTTGTAATTCCAATCATTAATATCTTGATAATCAGACAAGCGATCGACTTGTACAAGTTATGGCGTTCCTGACTGACCTAAAGGTTTATAATTATCATTGCAGCATGAGCTAAATCAAGGATTATTTCTAAAGGATCCAAGACAAAGTTACCGGATCCCTTTAATACAAAAAAGTGTGATGGATCATGGCTCAGTGGTAGAGCATGCAGTGTTCTCGTAACCGGGAAGTCCCGGGTTCAAAACCAAGTAATGTACTAGTGCCTTTAGGTAAGGCATTAGTTCTCATTACCAAGTCCCTTGGAGAGAACGTAAATCATTCGGTCCCCATGTTGTTAACTAAAGCTTCGGTCACAAATGCCATTACGAACTGCTACGAACGCCGTACGAACAATTTTCAGACCATGGAAATTCGGGAAGACCATGGAAAACAGGGAGATTCGTACGAACGCATCGTTCGTACGAACCTTTGTGACCGTAGCTTAAGCCTCGGTCACAAATGCCATTACGGACTGCTACGAACGCCGTACGAACGCCGTACGAACGATTTACAGACAATAGGAATTCGGGAAAACAACGGAAAAACAGGGAGATTCCTACGAAATTATCGTTCGTACGAACCTTTGTGACCGTAGCATAAACAAGCATATTATGCTATATCTTAGCAGTTTGGTAACACAAACCAACTAACCAATTAATATCTAATAATAAAACGACATAATTCGAATGAAAAAATCCAGAACATTATGTTCATAATGATGGTGATGATTATGATGATGATAAGTGTCATGATAATTAGAACAATGTTCAATAAAGATAATAGTAATGATAAAAATGGTAACATCAACAAAAGAGGCAACAATATTAATGATGAATGATAATGTTATTTAATATAAAGTTAATATAATTGAGAATACTCACCAATAGAACAAAATTGCTCACATCCAATCTCTCCATCTTTCCAGGTATTGGGGCGGTGGTATACTGGGCCATTGGCTACGCCTTCGCATTCGGAAAAGAGTCAAATCCTTTCATCGGTTACCGGTATTTTTTCTTCGAGAGCCTGCCGTCGTGTCTCTACTCGCATTTCTTCTTCCAGTTCGTGTTTGCTGCCACGGCGGCCACCATCGTCTCGGGAGCGATGGCGGAACGTACGGAGTTCATAGCCTACTTCATCTATTCCACTGCCATCACTGGTGAGTGTCATTGTCGGGAGGGGTTCGAGAGGGACTTTTTTTTTATAGGGGAGGGGGGGGGGGGCGCAACAAACCCCTCCAATTCTTCAAGCCCCCTATAAACAATCACGAAGCGCATGTAGAAAATGAACGCAAGAACCCCAAGCCTCTCAAACAACTACCTCCCGCCCGCCCCCACCCCATACACACACACACACACACACACACACACTTTTTTTTTTAAATAATTTTTTTTAAAACAATTTTGTTTTATTTCTCCAAATGAGTAATACAAACCATAACATACAATTGAATAAAATAAACGTGTTCAGTATTGATGCTTTTACATAAACATAATTAAACACAAACTTATTTGCAGTATAATATAACTTAGCAACAAAGTAAACGTATAAGTACCTAAACATAATATGTCAATTGTAAATGTTATTCACTTATATATTACAAAAAAAAACTTAAACAAACCTGGAGGTAATTTTACTGGAACAATCCTGCCCCCTCCCTGCTCCCTCCCTGCCCCCTCCATCACACAAACATACTCACCCTCCATCACACAAACATACTCACCCTCCATCACACAAACATACTCATCCACCCACACACATACTCACCCGCCCACCCACCCCCCCACACACACACACTACTCACTCAGTGGATGTCTGCCAACATTCTCAACTCAAGAAAAATATACTAAATAAGTTATCCAGGCCGCAAAATAGAGTTACGCTTTTAACAGGCTCACGGTGGAGAAGAAAACAAATCTTAATTAATCTTAAGCTGCTCCCACTTTAAAGGTAAAGACCAGTATTGGAAACGCCCCAATTTCAAAAAATGAAATGGAAGCTCTCATTACCAATCATGTGAAAGAATATGTTTTGACTAATACATGATGATAAAAAATTTGCCGGGAAACCGCCTACTAATTCATATATTTGGTAAATTTGTTTCTCTCATGGTCTGTGAGAGATATAGGGTAGTCCCATATACATCTTTCTGTGTATATTGCTTGTAACTATAATAAGAATGGGCCAAATTTCTTATCATTTTGATGATTCCAGAACCTTGCAGATGCTAGATGCTAGATGATCAACCTTTTTTGATCGATTCCACAACGTTTCTTTCACAATGCAATCGCATGACCATAACTGGTCTTTACCTTTAAGAAATGTGATCCCAGCTTTCCCATTTTAATTGCTATTTTCTTTTCCTCATCCCTATACTTAAAAAGGCTTTTTAAAAATCTTTTCTAAAGTTAGTACTCCCCCCCCCCGGATATTGACATAATTGTAATATACTTCACCATGAAAATGATAGTATTACACATTTTTATTCTATATGAACTACCTACCAACCCAACAAATATATCTCGCCATTCTAAATCTTTAATTTCATCTAACTCAAAAAGTTGTATTAAAGCCTGCCATATACTTTGAACGCTCCCGCAAGATAAAAATAAATGTTTGTATGTTTCTATTTCCTGCTTACAAAACGAACATAAATTATCACCAACAAAACCAAATCTATAAAGGTCCTTAGATGTTTAAACTTGCTCAAAAGGATTTTAAAAGAGCTTACTACAATCTGATATAAAATGAAACATGAAATTGGATTTTCATATGAAGAATGTGACGGTTGCATGTCGGGAAAAAGAAGGGAAGAAAGAAGAAAACAACACAACAGGAACAACAACACAAATCCTAAAGAAGGAATGTAAAATCAGCCTATCTGTTGTCTGAAAATATATTCTCCCCGAACCTAGTTCAATTCCTAATTAAGACCGTGGGTGTGGGGGGGGGGGGGGCGGTGGTGGCAAGCGTCCCATATGCCCCTGGATACTTTATCAAAGAAGAGTAGAAAGTAAAATCGATAATAAAAAAACAAGCAATGGTAGTTTTCTTTTACAAGAATTATTTTTGTCGTTTCTCCAGGATTCATCTATCCGATTGTGGTTCACTGGGCGTGGTCTAGTGATGGTTGGCTTGCCAACGGGCCGTCTGGAATCGGCTACCAGGTTAGTTGCCATGCCAATATTACGACATTAAAATCTTAATTGATTACCATTCGAATGCTAAACAAATTTCATACGGTTGGAATTTCAACCTCAGTAGAAACCCCCCAAAATATACATTTTTATCGTCACTGTGTAGGTATTTTTGTATTCTATTGTGTTTTGTAATCTTCTCCAGTAGTTGCATTCAGACGCATGAATCACCTTGATTGATGAAACCACGTTTGATTTGATGGGGGCTCATTCATTATGCCCTATCTTGCTTCTGTTTCTTTGTTTATAATGCAGATGCTTGTATGCATGTGATCTCTCTTTTGTGTTTGTTTTTGTTTGACAAGTGCACCTTAAGGTTTGATTTCAAATGGATTTGACGCAAAGCTAGTATACTATCATTATTATAGGATTGTGCAGGTAATGGTGCTGTACATTATTTTGTGTAGAAAGCAGCTCTATAAAGGCGGAGCTGTCATGTTATATAGGACCAGTTAAATAATATTTTCAAGGCAAATATTCTATACGTCCAAGTGCACTCTACACCAGGCGCGTATACAGGGGGGGGGGGGGGGGGGGGGGGTGTTTGGGGGTTAAACCCCCCCTTTGGTAATTTTTTGTGTGTAAACCCCCCCCCCCCTAAATTTCTCTAAAACCCCCCCCCCCCCTTTTGGATTTTTTTTTTTTTTTTTTTTTCGAGACAAAAAAAAAAAAAAAATGTGTCCTCTTACCCACCCCCCCCCCCCTGCCGCTTATTCAGCGGCTGGCTGAGTCGTTGCGAAATTTTCGGCCCGATTTATAAATGTTAACCCCCCCCCCCCCCCCTTGAAAAAATCCTGCGTACGCGCCTGCTCTACACTGCATGTCAAACGTTTGATTTCCCGCCATTGTTTTCAATATCCCGCCAAATTTTTAACCTCATCCCCACAGGACTTTGCAGGTAGCGGTGTTGTCCACTGTGTCGGAGGAACAGCAGCTTTGGTCGGAGCCGCCATCCTAGGACCACGTATCGGACGCTATGACGAGAATGGCAAGTCTAAAGTGATTTCAGGTCACACAGTCCCGGTGAGTCATTGTCATTCATTGATCAGTGTGCCAATTGATTTTCTTAAACTGACATAATTTTGTTTCTTTCCCATTCTGTATGACTCTCCTTAACTTAAATGTCTAATCCCCCTCTCTAGTCATAATAATCATAACAGTGTAGTTTCTTGCAGATTATTTCTTTCCGGGCCCGCATCCTTCCTCTCAAGCCATTTCAATATCTTCTTGTAACATGTTTAGTCCTCGCAGATGAGTAGGCATACACTACATATCTACATTTTAATGTAGTCCCTACCCATCCCCTTATTAGAGTTAACAATATGAATACACTTCACTGGCTTTTTCTTCCCTTCATTTCTTTCTGTTCCATTTTCTTCTATCTATTCAAATCTCTCTTTATCTCGCTGCCTCTTTCTTCCATTTGCCAGGTAACCGAGCATCTTGAACGAATTATCTTTTTAGTATTTTGATTCTGTGGTCCTTCACAAGAGCCATAATTTTGTAGAAAATTATAGTGCCACGGGATAATGAAACTACCTCCAACTACCCCGAAACAAAAAGACGCCTTAAATGATCGGTTGAATAAAGCTAAATGATATTTAAATTGTTGAGGTGTCGTGGTCGAGTGGATACGTAGCCGGACTGTCGATCGCAAGGTCCGCGGTTCGAGTCCCGCCGTGGCACTAATGTCCTTGGCAAGACATTGATCTACATGTGCCACACTCAACCCAGGTGATGTAAATGGGTACCTGGCAGGAATTCATTCCTTGAAATGCTGGAGCGCTGTATAAACGGCAGCTAGGCGAAAGCCGGGGTAATAATAAATGCGCCTCGGAATAGAATTATCTAGATAGACGGCACTATAAAAATACCTATTACTATTATCATTATCATTATTTCTTGAATTAAGATGGTTGCTCTGGGCGGCTTCGTTCTCTTCTTCGGCTTCTTCGCCTTCAATGGCGGCTCCCAAGCTAGCATCTCGGTCGAAGGAGACGGGACAACAGTCTCACTCGCTATCATTAACACCATCATCTCTGGGGCTTGTGCTGCTTTGGTTGCCATGGTGATCCGGAAGATTGGTTTCAGCGGAAGCTACTGGTCGCTCCTGACCACCATTAATGGTGGGCTGACTGGAATGGTGAGTATTCAACATCGCTATTATTTCCATCTATTCAAATATTAAAATTTAATAGTCAAGTTGAACAAAATAATCTTTACTGCGGCAAGGAGATAGATGGAAGCACATCCAACCTATTTAAATACTATATAATCTTGTTCAGTTTGTCATTGTACATTATGTTTGTCAAACGTATGTATCCATCTACATTTGCCTAATTATACCATTTTATGCTTTGATTAAAACTGAATAAAGACTTATTTGAAGAAGAAAAAAAATGTTAACATGAATTATGAAACGGTCTCTTTTTACTCTGTCTAGGATCAACATGAATTGAAAGTTTTATCTACAACGCAAGTGAAAAAAATGAAGATTACATCGTCAATATTGCTTCAAAATTCCTTCTGTAGTTATAGTTATTTCACCGCCATTTCGTTGTTACGCTAGAACGGCCTATTCTTATTCGTTTCTTTAACGACTGCAATGATAGTAAATTGATTTATTCACAATTAAAAGCATTTGTTTTTACTCTGATGGCCTTTATTGAACCATCGTTACAAAATTACCCTTTGGCCAAACAATTTAATGAACTGCTCCCTGTGTTCGATTTATTTGGCGCAATCGCCCTTGCATAAAGCAGTAGTGGCCATACTGTGGAAACATCGTTCAAATTGTAAAAGTTCTGAATAACGCGGCTTCTTTAATGTATAAGTATAACGGCAAGTCCAAGGTATTTGGCCACTTACGTTACCAAGAATAAAGTAGAGAAACCAGTTTAGGCTTCGTTCAGATATGACACAGCAAAACCACGGCTTTTATTTTATGATGATGTAAATAAGCGTCACATCTCTGCAGGTCTGTATCTCATAACAGGGAGCTCTGTGAATATTCGGAGGACGGTTGTTGCGCGCAATTGTCACTCGTTCATTTTACAACACTGAGGGCGGTATTCTGCCTCATATCTGCACAAGCCTTGTGTATACTAATAGCTTTCAATACTTCGGAAATGCATAGGCAAAAATACCATGTACCTGACCCTAAATACTGTTACCGTATTCGCTTGCACCCCTTTTGAAGGTTGCTATTTGTGCTGGCTGTGATGCCGTCTACCCATGGGGAGCAGCGATCATTGGCGCTGTAGCCGGTGCTACCTATATGATGTGGAGTGCTCTGATGGTTGCTGTCAAGGTCGATGATCCTCTGGATGCTGTTGCAGGTTAGTTTAAAAGGAGATTGTCGTCAGTTTAAATATGCGGTAGGTCATAGTTCACTGACAGCAGACTTAGTGGAAGTAACATTAATGGGTATATAAATCTAGCCCACAGCGAACCCGTAGTCCAATTAAGAAATACCCTCAAGTCTTTCAGAGAGTCTTCGGGTGAGGGAAATGTAAGATAATGATTTTTCCATGGGCATAAGTTAAGTGTTGGGGCGATTTGTCGAAAATGCAGAGCATTACTTAAGACACATAGAAGTCAGCTCTCATGGGGAATTCGACACCGTTCGGGTGTTTACCCAATAACAGGTGTTGTCAATCACCAGAGCTAGCCTTCAGTGTTATGACCATTATACCTTATGTAATGCTTTGCTTTTCCCTCGTCACCCGAAGACTCTCCGACTACTCCGAGAGATTAGGGGGTAATTCTTGCCTGGCCTACGGGTTTGCTGTGTGCAGATTTGTACTCCCATTAATGGTATTTCTACCAAGTCTGGTATTAGCGAATTATGGCCTTCTGCACATGGAAACTGACGAACCACTCCCTTTAATACCGGTTGGTCATAAAATTGAAGGCTTATCCTGGTGAATGACAACACATATTATTTGGGAAACACCCGAATGGTGTCAAATTCCCCATGCGAGCCCACTACCACGCGCCTTTAAGCCTCTTGCAAACGAGGCGTTATTACCAATGCGCCATGCAAGGACATTCAAACGTGCATAGGCGTCGTAATAGAGTGGTTTGATCATTTGACTTGGAATGCAAAGGTCGTGGGTTCGAACGCAAGCAAGCTATTTTTTTTTTATATCTACGTTGCTCCCTTCCACTCAGGAGCTAAATACTCGGAAAGATACAAATTAGGTAGATGTGATTGGGTTATCATAATAATGCGCGCCCGTAAAAAAGCTACTGGCGGGAAAGCTCACCAGGGAGTAGTCCAGAATCTGCCCGTTCCTTTATAATTATATTCCCTACACACTTGATTCAAACCGTCGAAGATGGCGTTATCAACAAAATGCTCGCCAAATTCGCCATAATGATCACGCCATCATCGGCTGGTAGCAAGTAAGTAGGGGGAGGCAGCGTTGGTGTGGTGGAGATCAAAATTAAATAGGCCACATTCTGGACTAACCAGGGAGTGGAGAATATTCACTGCAAATAGTAATCAAATCAAGTGACTGGGTCAATAATAAAAGTCAAAACGTCAGAAGAAATCGAATCTATTAAACACTTATTTTAGGAATGCCCTTTAACTCGTTGATCCTAAGAGGATTTTGAAAAATGTACCCTCAAACATTAAATTAAGTTAACATTTAATAATTCATCTTTGGCATCCCAGGTGGAATTTTTTTCTTTTTTTTCTTCGTTGTTTTGTATGAAAAATATTATATACTTTCAACTAGATTTTTGAAGGGTTATTTATAATTTCCATCTTTTCAAAAGAAATTGAAATATTTTGAAGTTGAACAAACAATCTATACGCACCGAGGTTTATATTTTATTTCCTGACGGGTGGAGGCACTACCCCGCCCCCCCCCCCCCCACTCAATGTTATTTAGGGTACGCGTATGCTCGTTCCCTCTTTTTGAAAGCACCCCCTATCTGAGGACTGCCAACATTTCCGAACCCCCCCTTTCGCGGGCTTTTTGCGGGCTTTTCCTGCCTTGGAGACCCCCCTAAATACGGAAAAATGCTCAATATACCCCCCTAAATTCGGAACAATTTCTCAGGAGTCCAAAGAATTGAGAGAAAAAAAAAGAAAAACACCCCCTTTTTAAAGAAATCTCCGGGTGAAAAGTCAAATACACCCCTTTTTTTACAATTCTCGGGCCGGACTTTGTCGCACGAAAAGTACCCCTTTTCCGGACATTTTGGTAACACGCATGCGGTCATTCCGACCCCGGGGTGGGGGGGGGGGGGGCGGGGCACTACCCACTTATTTTAAAGCCCGTCCGCACTAGTTTGGCAAGGAGTGATTAAACCATCAAGCGTGGTCACTGGCAGGTGGTTATGTCATCAAAATCAGCTCTTAATTAACATAAGAAAAGAGGATCATTGGGGAACCAACGGGTACCGCTTAGGCATTGTTAGCTATACAGAGGCCACAATTAGCGATAAGTAGTCAGTCCCGCTTAAAGCTTTGCATGTTTATCTAGTGTTTTCATAATGTCAATCATTCTTTGCAGTTCACCTTGGAGGCGGTATCTGGGGAGTATTAGCCGCGCCCCTCTTCGACATGAACGACGGCGTCGTTTTTACTTTCTCTGCAACCTCTTGGCAGGTAGGTCCTATGTCGTATAACTAAAATAAAACAATAACAATAGAATAGATAATGGTTACATTTAATAAACAACATTGTTTGCAGCAATGAGGTAGATTGGACATGTAAACAGTTGATACAAATCTTGTCTTACTACAATCATCAATATAATTATACAGATAAAATTAATTGTTGAAAATCTGGAAAAGTTATATACAAATAGTAACGATGAAACAGAAAACCTATACAAATTAAAGATAAACTCCAGTACTGGTAAAAAAAAAATTAATTCTCACAGAATCAAACGAAACTTACACTGAATGTTCAAGATTACAAATAAATGACATGTGCCAAACAATTTTGAAAGAAAATGTATACTGGCTGAGTAATGAGCATAGAAAGACAAGGAAATCAAGGTAGTACTAGCCCCGACACCATGTGTGTTGTCCCATATATAGCTTTCTATGTGAGTGCTTGTTACTTTACCAAGACTCGGTCAAATTTATTATGATTTTGATGACTCCAGAACCTTGCAGTGCACACCAATACTTACATGCTACATGATCAACTGTTTCTGATCCTTTCCACACCTTTTCTTTCACAATGCAATCGCATTACCAGTAATAAGGTTGATCTTTAAGATTGATTATTAATAAGACCGATTACTCTATGAAATACAAATTGTAAGACTGGTACCTGGTATTCAGAGTAAAACAAAAACAAACCATGAAACATAGATGCATTTGTTGCTGGTCATATATGTTCTCTTTCTCTTCTCTTCTTCTCATTCTCCTCCTCTCACTGTTGGTACAAATACCCATGAGATTTCATTATCTTCATATTTAAATATTTTTAATTGTTTTTGTCATGTATTATAAACTGAAGCGCTCTAAGTTTGTTGGGAAGTCCACGGCTTTTTTCTTCTAACTACCATTTTCGCATTTGATTTCGTTCTTTAAAGGCGTTTACACATGAACTTATTTCCATTATTCTACTTAGTTTATACTATGCATTCTAGTGTAATTGTAAATATTTTATATATTAGATATGGTTCGCATTAGTGAAACAAAGTTGAACTTAAAATTGTTATTAAAAATATCTCATTATTTCTATTCTTCATACCATCCTTCAAAAATACACTCTCTGGGTTATTGTACTTTTCACGTTACCTCTTGTACCATAATTTGAACTAGAACTTCCCTGGACTTTGCATATTAAATTGTATATACACTATAATCTCTCTCTTTCCCACCCCCCCCCCCTCTCCCTCGCTCTCTTCTCTTTTTTTCATTCATCGTCTCTCTTTATCTCCGTGTCTTGCTCTTTCTTTCTTTCTTCCTCTCATTCTTTCTCTCTTCCTCTCATACACTTTCTCTCTCTTTCTCTCTCTTTACTTCATCTCTCTCTCTCTCTCTCTCTCTCTCTTTATCCCTCCCTCCTTTCCTTTGCCCTTTACTCAGTATGATTGAGGGAGCACATGATAATTATACCAGCGTAATAACCTTCAAAGTCATACATATAGGGACAATTTTTGTTCTTCATTCTTCAATACAAGACTCAATATTGTGTCACCATGTTGTAGTAGTACTTTCTTCCTCTTTATTGTTCCCTAGTCCTTTGGATGGAACCTTCTTGGAGTCTTTGTCATCGTAGTTTGGACCTCGGTTCTCTCTCTTGTCCTCTTTGGTCTCATGCAAGCTTGTGGTGTCCTCCGTGTTACCCCAGAGATGGAGCTGAAAGGTACGTAAAGACAGTTAGCAGTAAAGGCAGTGAAAAAGAAAGGGGAATAAAACGGGTTAACGATAATGATCTTAATTATTTTACTTGTATTTTGCGATATATTTTGGATCTTCGGTCCTCCATTTCCAATGAATATAAAACCAGTTTTGAATTAATAGCATATTCAAATAGATTGATGTCGCTTTCCTAGGGACTTAGTAACGAGTTATACATTAACCTGTTTACAATGAATAAACTACGTACTTGGAATCCAGTCTGCATGCATTACTTATTGCTTTGTCATTATGCCCCCCCCCCTCCACGATTTTTCTTATTGTTCGAGAACATATGGATGGCGCCCCGCCGCTCACTGAATTTTTTCTTTAGAGTCTTGCGCATCTTTTAAAACAATTTTTTTTGAAAATCGGAGCTACAGTTACAAGGTCACGTGCATGTCAGCCCGAAAATCGCTCAATTTCGTCATTTGTGTACAAAACATATGGGAAAGTCATTTTTCCAAAAATAGATCAAACATTGGTTATTGGGTCTTGTTTGATGTTTAGGTGGTTGTTTTGGTAGTCAAAATAGTTGAATTGTAGTTAGAAATGAAATAAAATAACAAAAACAATAAAATACATAAGTTAAAAAAACAGTGAAACCCAATAAACAGAACACCAAAAAGTAACCTCTTTTGGGAGTGTATTTTAAGTGATTTTAAAGTATAGTGCCTTTTGAACTATATTTAAACGTTATCGACACGTGCCTTCATTTAAACAAAAAGGCTACTCCTGTTCACGTTTTCATCCAACCTAAAAACCACCAGTTTATCACGCGACTGGAGTAACGTGATTCCACTTACCTCTGTAAATCAAGTGTTTATGACCAAAAAACCACTTGACCAAGCAACGAGTTTTTTGTCAGTTAACCGATGGTGGCGATAAATACGTAATTATTTGGTCTTGTAAGCACTTTTTTTGATTGGTTTCACAGGTTATCCAAGGTTGATAGTAATAATCACGTTACTTACACCGGCTAATCGTCTTATTGTTCTGTCCGTGAATCTCTGGTTATATTCAACTAGTAATTCTGAGGTGTCTTACACACCTCTTTAAAAGGTTTCAAAGTTACCATAAATTTCTTGGTTATGATCACGTGGCTCAAGCTGATAACTAATCTAAGCTGTGAAAACGTGATATGTAGGTGTGAAAATTAGTAATTATTAAGTGTTTTAAAACACCTTTTTAAATGGTAGTCAAAGTTGCCATAAGTTCCGCGGTGATGATCTCGTGACTCAAACGGATTATTGATCTAAGCTTGTCATACGTGACTTTTAGGTGTGAAAAATTAGTCATTATTAGGTGTCTTCAAACACCTATTTAAATGGTTTCAAAGTTACCATAACTTTCTTGGTGATGATCACGTAGTTAAAACTGATTACTAATCTAAGCTGTGAATCCGTGATATTTAGGTGTGAAAAATTAGTCATTATTAGGTGTATTAAAACACCTATTTAAATGGAAGTCAAAGTTGCCATAAGTTCCGCGGTGATGATCTCGTGACTCAAACGGATTATTAATTAATTAATTAATTAATTATTACTGGCTCAGTCAGTAGAGCGTCCGCCTCACAACCGGGAGGTCGTGGGTTCGAACCCCGGCCGCGTCATACCAAAAGACGTTAAAAGATGGGAGTTGTTGCTACCCTGTTTGGCGTTCAACAATAAGGGATAGAGCAACGTCGATCTGGCGCTGCTCAGTGGCTGCCGGGCTCACGATCAATTGGGCAAAAAGAATTTCCGTTTCGGTTTAATAAAATTTGGAGTGGACTATTAGGCTATTATTATTATTATTATTATTATTATTATTATTATTATTATTATTATTATTAATCTAAGCTGGGCATACGTGACTTTTAGGTGTGAACAATTAGTCATGATTAGGTGTCTTAAAACACCTATTTAAATCGTAGTCAAAGTTGCCAGCAGTTCCGCGGTGATGATCGCGTGACTCAAACGGATTATTAATATAAGCTGGTTATTCCGTGTTTTCCATGTGTGAAAATGAGTTATTCTTGGGTGTCTTGATGGTTTCACAGTTACCATTTAAGTTCCGTGGTGATAATCCCGTGACTGTTGGCATATTTCTATGTTCACCAGTTGATAACTGACTGTTGGCATATTTTCATTGCACCAGTTGATAACTGGAGTGTGCATATTTCCAGTTGCACCAGTTGATGACTGAGCGTTGGCATATTTCGAGTTGACCCAGCTGACACCAATTCATTTGCATATTGAATATGGGGTGCGTGCAGATCTATGTTTTTTAAACAATTTATCTGAATTTACAGCATATTTCTTAATTACTGATGATTTAGTTATTTGCAATTCATTTCGAAAATACTACAAATATAAATTACCAGTTATTAGGACATTTCGCTACTTCGTATACATAGTTAAACATGAATAAGGGAAACATTAACTGTGAACTAAAATAATTTCAATAAAGTACAAGTATACGATTTTTTTTCGATTAATTCAATTATGTAAGTCTACTTATTACCAATGCCCTTACATTGGAAATACAGACGTACCAGTATTGAATTATTGTTGCTGTTCAACTGGTTGGAAGTTTTACCAAATGGTTCTAATGGCTCAGCTAGACCAGTTGAATTATAACTGACCTGGATCAACTGGATCATTTAGCCCATTTCAATTTCCAGGGTTACCGGTTGGCATTAAATGGTTCATCAACTGGACCAGTTGCAACTAGCTTTCTCTTCTGGGATGTTTGCACCCCCCCCCCCACCCAACCCCCTCTAATCCCAAACTGCTTCCGGCGCGCCTGGACGTTATAATGGAAGATCCAAGACACGATGTTCAGAAACGGGATGAGAACGTCATTATTTTGGTTCATTTATTGTGTAACATTTGCGTAATTATTGGGTTGAACGCGGGTTACAGTAACATACTTCCTCTTCGACGTAAATTTCACGTGAATGAAGAACATGATTCATCTCAAGTCAGCCTCGTAATATTCACGTGAATTTCACGCAGATATTTTGACTAAAACTATCATAACGCTTCACGTGTTTCTGTGACGCGATAATTTCGTGTATGAAGATGTAATTTCATAACCAAACAAACACGGAAGTATTAGGTTTACAAACCATGGTCTCCAAGGTAGGGATAATCACGTTATTATAATGGTGATATTGCAGTGACAATTGCGTGATTTAGTGTACGTGTGTTTTAAGTTACCTAATGCAAAAAACGTATAAACACATTTACGTAAATGTCCGGTGTTTGAAGAACGTAACTCTCCTCAAGTCGATACCTTGATATTGACGTGATTTTCACGTGATTTTGTTTATTGGGAATACATAAGAAATTATCAAAACAAGAGAAAACATAAGGAATAAGCTGGCTCTTCCAAATTTTGTTGGCGTATTATTATTCCAAATGGTCTAATGTATATATGTAGTGAAAATAATGCTTAAATATGAATAATATATGATTTATGGGTAAAAAAATGAGTGAATTTTTCAAAAAATTGAAATTATCATAGTATTCTATACACTTCACTTGACATGCGTGCAAATTTTCGCGGAGATCGGTGGTTTCACGGCCGAGATCTTGAGGGGGGCCATAATGCCCCCCCCCCCCGGCCGTACTAAGACCTCAAATAACCCAGCCTTTTTAGGGTTAACGTGTTTCTGGTCCATGTCTATGTAATGTTTTATATAAATTCAACTGGAACATACATAAAACATATATATACTTATAACTGGGTCGTCATAATATATTTCCCACTCATTTTGTTTAAAAGTACTTAGTACTTAAAGTAGAGTAGAAGAAAATTTACATTTAAAAATTTCTAGAATCCCTTAACTAAGAAATGAAATAAAAATATGACGAAATATTTGTAGCAATAGGTTTATGGGTGAACGTTTCCACTTTGGCATTTTCGTTATCCCTAATATGTGCTGGCAACAGGGTGTATTTGTACCTTCTGAGAGGGAGGGGAGGAGGTGTTCGATTACGCCTACTTAATGTGGCGACAAGAAATATGATTAATATTATCTACACTAAAATATGCAAATAATAAAATAAACTGAATACATGCATCAAAAAACAGAACAACAACGCCCAAAACATGTTCTCATTTGAGGACACCTACTTCCCTCAACCCTCTATCGCTAACCCTTGGATCACAGCATATGTCTCTAATAATTATGCCTCCTTTTTGTTGTACAGGTCTGGATGTACCAAAGCATGGTGAACCGGCCTACCCCCTCGAGAGCTACGGCAGCGGGTGGGAATCCAATCAAACCAACAATGGCAATGGACACCCGATCGGTGAGTTTGTCATATATTTTTCTTCAGATAGTCATTTACAAGTGATGAAATCCTTAAAGCCCTACTGCACTACTTATAGCTACTTGCTTGCACCCTCTATATAGCAAACAATGCCTAAGTGGTCCCACATGGTCCCCTTTTTTAATGTTAATTGAGAGCTATTTTGATGAGAAAAACACCTGACAGTGGCCTTGCAGGGAGGTCTAATCCCTTCTGGCTAAACTAGTGCAGATGGGCTTTAAGACTCGTTTAGATTTGGAACAGTAAGGCGTGGACTTTTTAAATAACGTGTAATTGAATGGCAACTGCGTCCCACACGTATTAAATGAGTTATGTGTTTTTATATGCAGAAGGAAATAATGATAGTAGGTATTTGTATTGCGTAATCTATAAAGAACTTCTATTCTGAGGCAAAAACGGAAAATATGACAAGAGTCCGACTATCAAAAAGTGCCATATTTCCTCATGTCGAGCATTGTTAAAAAGGTAGTTTTTTTTTACATACAGACATAATGAAGGCATTAAAATAATATTTAAAAAACACGCCATGGTTAAATTGCCGCTTGATACCTAAACTCATGGCTTTGTGATGCTTTTTCGACCATTATTTGTACTGGAGAGGTGTACGTAAGAGGTGAAGAGTAGGGGGTGTCGCATAAGTGAGTGGCCAGAACACTTGACTGGATGCCTGAAGGTCATGGTTCGAGACCCGACGTAGCACTAAAATTCATTTGTCAAGTTGAGAACTCTTAAGCCATGTGTTAATTGGACACGGTACCCTAGTATAGAGCTTGGTGTAATATTTGAGTGCCATGAACACCTCAGGCGTGTGGTGGATATGATTACCATACGTGTTTGAAATTTGTTAATCTATATCCTTGACAAAGGCTCGTATAATAATAATAATAATAATACATTTATATAGCGCAGTTTTATACAAAATATATTCAGCTGCGCTGGTTAAGAGCTCCTTTTTTTAATATTTTTTTTTACTAAATTCTACAAAATGAGATCTGTCAATTGAACAAATAAGTTTTTAAATTGGATTTGAAAACATTGAGAGATGAAAGTTTACTCATGTTCAGTATTATAACTATCGGTTTCTCTCACGTAATAACCCAAAACAAACAAACCGAAGAAGATGATCAAGGAAATGGAAATCCCAATGAGAAAGAAACGAAAAATGTTGACAACAATATCTTTATTTACCACTGTATATTAATTTTGTCCGAAATAGTGTACACCAACAAAATAGATACATCTTTTTGTTAAGAATGAGCACGTTAAACATGGTTCTCTATATACGTGTGTTCTTATCGTTTCAGGTCAACGACAAGAGTATACCAATGCGGCTTTTGAGGGCGCTGTTGCTATAAATAACCCAAGCTATACGGACAAGGAGAATGGCGAGAATGATCTTCCTCTCTAGAATGTTTGCATCGTGTCGGGGTGATGTGAATTGTTTACAAAAATAACCCAGCTACACCCCAACCAAGTCTTCCTAATTAGAATAAGATAATATGAATTAAACGGTGCTTATAAAGCGCTTTCAAGAGAAGTCTCTAAGGGGTATAACAAGCAAAATACAACGAAAAACAATTATAAATTATACAACATACACGAATCTCTGTAAATATAGACTTAGGGGAGGGGGGGGGGGGGGGGTGGAAAATTGTGTTATTACCACTATTATCTTTATCATCAAATGGATAGTTGAGTTATGTTTTTAGATCGCAAATGCCTTCAAAGTGCATGGTTATTGCTCTCATTCTTATCTATGACATTTCTAGTGCCCTTTTAGTCCTGAAATTGCTATGAAGGTAATTTTAGACACCCAAAATATGTGAAATTTAGCCAATACGATTATACCAATTCAGCTCCACTTAAAATAAAATATGGTGACCATTAATTAATGAATGAATGAATAATAACAATACATTGGCCGGCTGGTTGTGCGTAATATAACCAACACGAAAAATCCAACAAATAAGCCAACTTCGGCGTTGACTGAAATTCAACGTAAAAGGCGCTATTTTGTTTTTCCAACGGCTTTCGACGGCTGGTTCAAATTATTTAATATTTGTGGTGGTACACAAGTATTAGAAATCGTTATATTTATGGATATTTCAGCCGTCTCTGAACCAATTTTGATCAAACAAAGATGATTCTGTCATTTAAACTGTATGTTCTCTCAAATTTGACAGTCAGTTTTTCATTATCTAACAACAAAAAAATATTTTGTGTAGCGCCCTCTGCAACAGAACTCAACTATCCCTTTAATGATATTATTGTGATTGTTGTTATCTTTAATACCATTATTACGTTATTATCATTATCATTATCTTATTATCATTGTATTTGTTATTGTCATTGTCATTATCGCCGTCGTCGTCATCATTAATGTCATCATCATTACCATCATTGTTTGCATTATTATATCTAATGCTATAATGTTTACCTTGCAAAAATAGAACACGTACGTGTATTAATAAGCTTTTTGTACTATGATTTTGTATTTTGTATATACTTATAGATAAAAGCATGTGCCAGGGACCTGATTTGCGCCTCTTATTTCAATGCAGTATAGCGACGATATCTTTGAGGACATGTTTAAAAAAGAACTTTGAGAAGTCTTGAATGAATCGACGCCTAAAAGGTCGTGCTAATTCACGAATAATAGTAATAATAGTCATATTTTTAAGGCGCTTAATACTATTTTCTAAGCGCTAAACGTTATAATTATTGTGACCTCAGTCATTGGAGTCAATTGCTAAGCCGCACATGATAGTGTACACGCTCCACACCCCGGGAAGTATTCCTGACAGTTGCCATTTTACATGCGTCGACGCCCCCACAAATAAAAAGAAAAAAAGAAAATGCAATAAATTTTCAATAATTCATTGCACTTTCCCCCAGTCTCCAACAGGAAATATTCCTTTGTAGGGCCGTGCATTTTGGTTCAAGGTATGCCCACATAGAAGATTTGTTTATGTTGGGGGTCGGGCAAAATGCAATAAATTATTGAAAATTTATTGCATTTTTTTTTTGTGGGGGCGTCGATGTACCCTAGCGCCCGCTGCGTACAGTAATGATTCATTGGCTAAGCAATGACCTCGTTACTGTGAGCCCCCAGGATCAAAACCGTGTCGATATGCTATATTAGTGCCCTTTTATGAGGTGTTAATCCCCATTACTGTCAGTTATGACTTAAGGACGTAGGTCCCCTAGTTGATTAGCATTGTGGCACACACATGCTTTAGCAGTCACGCAAAACACACACTCCCCAATCGTCATTCAATAAAATCTGAGAATGTATACTATTATCTAGATCTATTAGGAATAAATCATTGTCAAAATCATTCAATAAATTGGGGTAAAAAATAAAATGGTTGCAAAAGGGACATAGTATCTTTAATGTCTTGGCACAGGACATTAGTGCCGATGGGACTCGAACCGTGAATCATGTTATCCACAGTCCGGTGACATATCCACTAGACCACGATACCTTAACGATATCGGTTGAACATTCTGTCCTGGGTTCATATTATTTTTTTCATTTGTCAATATTCCATTTCAGGCTATTTGAAAGAGATGATACGTTTGTAAAAATTGGTATTTTCGTTTACCAAATGTAATGATGGTTATTCATACCTTAATGTTTACGATTCGGTTCATTTGTAACATATATTTTTCGATGGGGGGGGGGGGGGGGATTATTTTAAGAATCTATTGATGGTGTTTTACATGTCGTATTAATCTGTATTCTCTTTGTTGTTTTGTCGTATTAATCTGTATTCTCTTTGTTGTTTAAGTTTAAAAACTTATCATGTTATTACAATAGCGCTGAATATTTTAGTGTATTGATTACAAACAAAATCGAAGAAGTAAAATGTAAATTAACTATTTGTGTCTGCTGCATAATGAATAAAACGTTTTCGTTATCGATCTTTCAACTCCCTTTTTTCAATTATGATTCTTTCTCACTATTGTCTTGCAACCTTCAGATTCGACATCTGCTCTTTTTCTTCTGTATTGAAACAATTTAAAAACAAAGACCATACATCTTTTCTGTAACACACACACACACAAACATGCACATCCTCTGTCTTCCCCTCTCTCAGATTGTCTGATAAAAACTGCTACAGTAAAACCTGTCTATAGCGACCACTCAAGGGAGGCACAAATGCTGGTCGTTGTAGACAGGTAGCCGCTAACACAGGTTCGACTGTATTTGTTCTATCGTTCTACTTCTTTCCCATAATCAATCTCGCACATGTTGCTCCGGTTGTCTCATTTTCGCTCGCTGGACGTATATAGCAGACGACAATCGGCGGATTAGACGACACTTGGTAGTAAATTTGTATGTGAGATTGCTTCGCTAAATATAAAATACAAGAACATTTTCCATATCTTTAAACTATCATTGATATCTGATAATTAAACAGTTAGTAAAATAAACCTACCAAACTACATAATACAATGAAATACTTGACTTAAAGTAGGGGAGTTTGATGTGGTGCACAATTGCACCCCTCTGTAAATAATCGAATAGTCCATGGCGATCATGAATATTCATGTTTTTGCTTACCTCGGCAAAATGCTTGCCTTATACTAAATGGAAAAATTACGGTGGGGGGTTGGTTGAAATGGACATAATAAACCGATCAGAACTGATCTATTATAATTCATACTTCTTATCCTTCATGTGCTTGACCTAAAACCTTACATTCGCTTTGCAAACTGAGTCCAAAGTTCGACTTGTTTTACATGTGTTATAAAGGCAATTGCGAGCTTGCAACCTATTTTGATCAAATTATGGTGGGTGAACTTTCAAAAGTCAATGAGACATGAGGGCTCCAATGAAAGAGCTAGTGATAACGTACGTCGGGTGGATGTGCTTTTCGTTTAAACAAAAAATGAAATTTTAACGATTTTGGGGGGTAAAATTCCATAGGGTAACATGTTAGGCTGCTGACTCTGACGATAGGGGGCGTTCTCAAATGAGACTAAACGGATCGAGCTATATGGTCTAATTCTTCAATGGTAAGCTGTACATGTTAGTTCACTGTACCATCTGTTCTCTATACCAGTAGTAGAGAAGGGTAGTAGTAGTAGTAGTGGGAGTTGAAGTAGCAGTGGTGGTCGTGGTGATGGTAATACTGTTAGCCATGGGACGTTTTTTTATAAAGTTCTGCCGGATACGTTACATTTATTCATTAAATGCTTGTTTTGTTTTTATTCATGACGTTTTTCGAATGAATTGGAATTAATATTGGAGAAACTGAAACAAGACAATACTACAAAAAGCAAGTATCAGAATTATTTTCACCACATGTCATAGGATTGTGTACTCGTCTCTATTGTATACTTTTCTTCCGATAGCCTTTTTTTTATCTTGGTATTTTTTTTAAATACATCTTCTTTTGAAATTTATCTTCCCATTATTGCTCAATACACCAAAAACCTTAAAACTTCATAGAGTTGCCTTTTTATAAATGAATGAAATAAGAATGAGATATTGTTAAGAAATACAGAAGAGTACGATCAAAGACGAAATAAAAAAGAGAGATTGTTTATATGAGTTAAAACAATTTAATATGAATAAGATGTGCTTCTTAATAACAGGAAAAAACGAAACTTGGCAGAAAAATGCAAGGCACGAATCCTCTAAAAAAACAAGCTTAACAGATCATTGCAAATGAGAATCACAATTAAAATTACTTATAAAAAATTATGAACTATTACGGTCAGGAAGGAGAATACGTTCATTGAAATGTCGGACAGGCCGATATTTGGGGTCGTATGTTCCATTTGATCGTACAAACGAACGGAGTGAGGAGCATGTGGGCCTTCCTTCCTTCCTTCACACTGATGTTCTATCCTTTTCATCATTTTCAATGTGTAATACTAGAATATACGAATAATTCCTCTTCTATCTTGTCTATATTTTACTTTGATAGTTCTTTTATAATTATAAACACAACGATATACTTATATATATATATATATATATATATTACGTATTTGTACAATGTGTGACCAAAACAAAGTTCTATATATTCTTGTGAATTTGGATGAATAAAAAGAATTGAATTGAATTGAATTCTTATACTATGATACAAGTATTGAAAACAGTTGGGGCTGCATGAAAATCCATACTAAATAATAATTTATAATTATTTCATCATCAATGTGTGTGTCTGTTTAAAATTGATGAATTTTGTATAAAAACCATTTAATATGAATAGGATGTGCTTCTTACACTATGATAAAATAATGAAAAAGAATGGGGTTACATGAAAATCGATAGTTGGAAACAATTAATGAATATTTAATCATATATATATATATATATATATTCGTTTATTTATTCGTAGCAACCAAAGGGTTGGATTGATATAATACATACATTTTTACCATGATTATGACCATTATTCAATTGAGTACAATGAAATTGAATTTATGTGCATTTATGAGATAAAGATACTGTGAGATTTAAAAACAAAACGGAATTTATATGAGAAAGTTATGGCAGTTTTAGATTTTTAGGGGTCAATTTTTCAAGAATTTGAGAGATTTTTGACGGAGTCGGTTTCGGATTTGAATTTTGAGTACGAAGATGGCATTTTGAAGGTCAGGTTATACATCGCAGATGAAAGAACATCTCTTAGACTATCTAGAGGAATTTGTTTGAAGTTTGTAGGATCTACGATAGTGGAGATAGGAAGGAAGAAAGGCCTTAAAATGGACCAGAAACGGAAAAAATGGCGCATGGACGGTTATGCATGAGTGATTTCGAAAATTGAGGAATGTAGTGACCTTGATGAGATGTTAAAGACTAAGCCTATGAAATTTGAATGGAAATGGACTTGAGGAAAGCCCCTAACTAGGAATAACAAGCACTATGTGGAAAACGAATGCGATTTTCTGACGAAAACACTAAGGAGACGAAGAAGAAGAATATTAATGGGGCAGAATGTGAACAAAAACAAGGCGATGACGATTTCGTCATTAACATGAGCAATGAAAATATTTGTATAACACATCATATACAAATTAATAATATGTACAAAGCGCAAAGGTAACATTTCTGCCTCTTTCATAAATACATGAATATACAGTATGTAATTCACTGCATCTTTTTCGTAGTTCAAATTCTTGTAAAATATTATTTCATGATTATTATGTATTTAAGCAAACATTTGTGAACACTTACTAAAGCAACATGTCGTAACTCCCTTTATATTAAAATGATATGAAAATAAGTAAAACTGCTTTGAGGGTGTTGTAATTTGCGTCTTTCTCAAAGGGAAAAAAGCTGAGAAGCTGTGTGTGATAAGATACAACATGTGAAATGCGGTGCTCGTTCTTTCGAAACCCCGCGATGAACCGGCCCCTTCTTATCACAAGCCTTTTTAATTTACGTCGGGCGAAGCTTCATCTCCGTCTTCTTAAGGTATCCATAATCGAGCCAGGAACGCCAGACCACACCCGCGGATTGTTTCGCCAGTGCGATTGGACCTTTCATGTAAACGCCGTTGAGGTTAGCACGAAGGCAATCATTATACCCGTCAGTGTACCACCAGGCCCCTTTCCTACGAATGGCGCAGAGTAACCATACCTCACTATAAGGATTGCGGTCCTGTGTACTGAACGGAAAATCCGCATGATACGACATACTGTCACCTGCATAAGAATGAGAAATTGACTTATTGTATTGATACTCATGATATATACTATTTCAATATACGTTCTTTCCGTACCCGACTTGACGCTGTGTGTATGTATTGAACCGTCCGTCCGTCTTTTGTAACAGATGCGTTTGGAAGCATGCATTGGTCCTCTTCTCACCCCTCCCTTCCGCACTTGCTATCCTTTTACGGGTTAAAGAAAACAAACAAACAAACAAGCAACAACCCCCCCCCCCCCCAAAAAAAAAAAAAAAAAAAAAAAACGCTCTTGTTTACCGCGTCATATCTAAGATAGCCTCTTGTCGATGGCCCTCGCGTTTTTGGAGTCCGTAAATTCTGGCGAGCGAAGCAAGTCAGAGAAACAGAGCGCCATAATAACGATTTATAGTATTACCCTATGACACTACTAACCCTAAAAAGACTGGGCTATTTTAACCTTTAAACAAATTTCATGTGAAGTCATGAAAGACACCTTTACTTCTTAATGATGGAGTGCTGGTTTATTTGTCTTTTGTATAGTTTGTAATTTGATATAAATGATGCTTACATTGTTTTAATTAATCATTCTAACTAGTACTTATATAATTTGTTATATTTATTATTTTTCAACTGACATAATCATATACACATGAAATAACTGTTAGGAGGTTTTGACATTATCCAGTGACATACACTCGGCTTAAACCTGGTCATAACAAATGATATAGGAAACTTGAAACATTTATGCCATAAACACACATAGGAACTGCAAAGGGTTGTGTTCATTGAAAATTAAGTCATATACCATTAGCATATGTCATGCATTTCCTTAGATCAGTAATCAATTAATTTTCACTTCTCACTCTCACTGAAACTTTCATTAAAATTGATTTAGTTTTTCTGTTTTCTATGTTTTTCCTTGATTTTCTTTGCATTATTCTTGATATATTGTACTGCTTTATGTAAATGAGAATGCGATAAGTTTTTCACCATGCCAAATGGGAATACTAACAGTAAATGTGAAAAATGGGTATAAAACTTAAAAGTTGCATCTAAAAACTCTGTTTGTTATATATGGAAGATTTTTTTTTAAGAAAAAAGAAGAAGAGTTTTTAGTGATACACGATCGTAAAATGTTACAAAACACCCGGACCATTGGTCCGGTGTGCGCAAATTTGGTATCACAAGATGCGCAAGACTTTACGGAAAAAGTCATGAAGTGTCATCGTACAACATTTAAAGGTAATACAAAGTTTTGGGATGGGGTCAAGAATTTGGTTCACATGAACATATTGGAAGCATATGCGGTCATACAATATTCAGTGATCATTGTTGCGGTTGAAATCGAGTCTACAGTTATGAAATTGTAAATAATAAATTCTTTATGTTATATAGCTCCCTATCAAGGTCAAGATATTAATTAAGTTATAAAACAATTTTTCTTGACTAAGATCGACAAATTAGCTATTCCCGTTTGAAAATTATATATTACAACTACATATTCTGAGATTTTCATGGTCACAACCACCATTGTACGGCCGTAGGCGCTATTTGAAATTTATCAAAATTTACCGGGAGCACCGGTAAATTTTTATATTCAATTTTTCTCGAAAGGAGAAGTGTTTTAGGGGCTAATTTTTCTTGTGCTTATAATACATCTACAGGGGCATCCAAATATATCAAAATTGTAAAGAATCACTTTCCACCTAATTTTCAAATTTCCCAAAACTGTGTATTACCTTTAAGCATTACGAAGTAATCACGAAAATAGAGGAGGGGGGGGGGGGTAAATCATCACCCAGTCGTTTTAGGCTTAACGTATAACCGTTTTACCTTATTAACCTATAACTGTATGATCGTATTACCGTAGGGCCTTTTACCGTATTACAATGAACCATATGACTGAATGACGGTATTACAGGAAATCACGTGTTACTGTATGTTAGCCTATTAGTAACATATTACCGTATTACTGTTCCGGTGTAGTTCCATATTACCGTACCTACTGGAAAATTCCGTAAATTGAAATGTGTCCAATACGGCCATCCCCACCTCCCTCTCTCTTCCTTCCTCTATTTTTTCATGTTTAAAAAAAAAACCTTTATTGATTTGATTATTTCATAATGTAGTGATACCACGAGGAACCATATTTGGATGAAATAAAATAATAAATATCGTGTACAGGACACATTGCATTGGATCCCCCTATTAGGTCCTACATACCTGCGTCTCCGGAGTAGCTGCCAAGGGCCATGGTGTAATTTGCGACCTCGTCCGCAATACTGAAATTGCTGTAGGTGGCAAAGCGTGTATGTCCTTCGAAGTCTTCGAGATCGATCCGGAGCTCGTAGGTCTTCTGACGGGATAGACGGTGGATGTTGTCGTTACCTAGCCAGTGCTCGAAGGAAACGTTTCCAAAGCCGTGTTTGTAGTTGGACCAGAAAAGAAAGAAGTCAACAGAACCATCCTGTCTACGCTGGAAGACCTACACAGATAGAGAGAGAGAGCGGAAGACGAAGAGGGAGAGGGAGAGAGAGAGAGAGAGAGAGAGGCAGACGGACAAACAGAGAAAAGGAGAGAAAGACAGATGAAAGAGAGAGAGAGAGTGTGTGAGGGTGTGTGTTTATTGAGAATTATTTCAGAACATAATAACAGCCATGGTGCATGGCAGCTGAGATGAGATGCATAACTTTCATGTTTAACACTTAAGAGAGGGAGGATGGCAAATGCAATGTCTGTCATCAAATTTAGATGAATTTCCTTTTGAACAGTGTAGTAACACGAAAAAGAGTAGCTGTTATCACATTTCGCTCCATTCAAAAGGATACGCAGTCTAGATTGTGGGCTAAGAATGCGTGGGTAACGACTTTAACAAAATAAACAAAATCACTTTCAATGACCATGCTGCATTTACAATTCTGTTCTTCATGAGGGCCTCTCAATTTACACCAGCAATTACCAGGTACCCATTTACACCTGGATGGTGAGTGGAAAATGTGCATGAATAAAATGAGATATATGGCATATTACACCTGAGTTGATTCTTAACCCGATCCATTTTTCGAAAAATCAACTTAAGGGCAATTTTAGAACCCTATGTCCCATAGAATATTTTTTTGGATTACGTAATACTTCATTGTAATTTTTGCAAATATCATTGGGTGAGGCACAACACAAGGTTCTTTTTTCGAAGATAGTTGCTACCGTGTTTCTTGAAAATCTTTGCGATCATGTTCCAAGCGGATAGGGTTAATAGAGATGAAATTCTAGCTATCATCATTTCTCACCGTCCAGCGGCCACCGTCCGTTTCCATGTCACAGTAAACGAAGAGAGGGTCATCTCCAGCTCCATCGGGATAGATGGGATACACTCCACTGAGATGGGATAGGCCACCAGTCTGAATCTCTGCACAGTCACGTGGGAGGCTAGGAACTGATAAGAAATGCAAAGGTGTCTTTATTGAGGGACTTGAATTTCAGAGAACCGGCCTCTCATAGGAACAGGTCCCGGATTCGATCCTTACTTGGTACTTACATCCTTGGACAAGGTTTACTTCCGGCACAGGGAGATATATGTGTTTTGCCTGTTAAATTGGCCAAATATTCTACAAGGTGTAATCGATGGGCAACTGACTGGTTCTTTAAGGATCGACCTTCTTGAATGTAGTGTGATCCGAAATCGATAGCCTAGCGAATATAAATAATATCTTAAGTAATATCAAAGATCTTTGAGCACCCTTCGTGGTGGATGAAAGACCTACACAAGGATCCAATATCAGTGTTCGATGTAGTATAGGGATGGTGTCATACTAAAAAGACAGTGTAAAGGCTAGTCCAGAATCTGCACGGTCCTTTATAATTTCCCTACACACTTGATTCAAGTCGTCGAAGATGGCGTTATCAACAAACTCATAATTATGCTCACTAGCCCAGCCGGTCTTCCTAATTTAATGATCACGCCATCATCGGCTGGTTTCAAGTAAATAGGGAGAGGTAGCGTTGGTGTGGTGGAGATCAAAATTGAATAGGCTAGATTTTGGACTATGTAAAGGCCGGCTCACATAGTAGCGGCAGGACCCCCAAAAAGGCGACGGACGTAAAAATTACAACATATTGGCGGCAAAGCTACGGCAAAAGGGGAAAACCAAGATTTGCTGATGGATGGGAACGACCTTTAGCGACAACACAACGGCGATGGACGAATGGCCGCGGCATGGAACGGAGTCTAGCGACCAAAATCGGACGTTGTCTGGGCGGCGAGTGACGATATCTCGCTGGCCCCCGGCAACAAAGAACAAGGTCAGACGGCTGGCAGTGGATTAGCTGGAGGCAAGGAAGGGCGGCTGACGGTGGGTTGCGGGGACGATGACATGACTCAGCGGACAACATCAAAGTGTGTGTGTGTGCGGGTGGTATACAGAGTCGACTTTGGCGGTCCCACTCTTCACAGCGTTCTGGTCATCCACTCAGACATACGCAGTGTTTTGCTTGAGAAGAATCTACTAACTTTTACATTTTTACTTTGGATTGTACCATTTCAGTTTAAAATCGTGGACCACCGTTGCAAAATCGTAACCCATCGCAGACCATCGTTGCAGTGCCGCAGGTACTCGCAGACGACCCGCCATCAACAGTCATCACCCGTCACCCTCCGGCCGAAATTCGCAATCCATTGTCGTACCAAGGTCGTTACAATTTTGTTACTTGCCGCAATGTGTCGTCAGGGTTCGATAATTATGTAATGAGATTTCACGACCTCGAAACGATTATAGACGGAATCGCACGGCATGGGAACGTAAAGGAAATGAGGGTTGCGGTCTCCAGCGAAATCTGAACGGAATCACAACGAATTTGTTTGCCCATACAAAATTGACAACATGCTGAAAATTTTCCGACGATCGCGACTGATAATTTCGGCCGTCTGCGGTCGCTAGCGGATTTGTCATCGACAATTGAAGGCAACGCACGATGATTGGCGGGAAATTCAAGGTTGCATTTCGCAGCTTAACATAGATTGCGGTACCCCCTATCCGTCATAGTGTGAGCCGGCCTTAAAGCTATAGAAAACTTAATATAGAAAATGTCAAGTTGACAAGTAACAGGAGGAGTGATCATACCAAAATGTGGATTAAGCGGTTAAACAAAATGTTTACTTTGCATCAAGTCGCTTTTGATCCTGAATGATTAAATATATTATATGTCATTGAGAGCAGAAAAAAACATTTAGACTAAAATGGCCTGATATCTACAATATAATATTAAGATAAAAATTTCCTGCTATATAGCGCAACAAAAGATAAGGACTACAGAGTGTGAGTCAGTAATTCCAAGGCCCCTTTTACTGTTCATATTTTATTCATTTTGTTGATAATTCCTGAATGTCAATCTCCTACGGTGCTTTAAACACCGCACAAATCACTGATGCAGCCGATTGCGATTCGTTTGCAAGGAGCATAAAATGCTTATAACGCCGGAAGTTGAGTACGAGGTGTAATTCGCTTGACGTATGGCTGCGTTAAAGATACTATGTCCCTTTTGCAGCCAACATCAACTTCTGTAGAACTTTGCAGGAATTATGAATATGTCATGTATGTCCTATCTGTGAAATTTAAACGTTATAGTAGTGTCCTTATATTCAAATTATGCAAGGAAACCCCTTTACTTGCTACACTTCACTATCAGACAATATTGAGTGACTGACTGGCTTGTTTTCTTCTTTGTTAATTAAACATGATGGATGATCCATAAAATGAGCTGTAAAGGGAGCATGAGCATTTGTCTACATCAATAACCCACTTCTTGTAATGGCCAAATTAAATTGATTACATCTTTGCGCAGCATAAAATGTACGACCATTCGGTACAATGGTCTGAAAATCAGACTATTACTTACTGGCTCTATAGCTCCTAAGTCGATTTGACAACTAATAGTCCTTATTTTCCCACTTGAAGACTTTTTCAAGTCCCCCTTTTTAAGGGAAGTTTTGAATTAGTATTATCTTTCAAATGCAGTTGGAATTTAACCTTTTTAATTTTTTGGCCTGCAAAGGGGACATAGTACCTTTAACGACCTGCGTGCGTCGTATGAGGGTGACACCGTATAGCCATCATGGATTTGATTAAAAATAGCACAGTCCTACGTCAGTAAAATGAAAACCTCATGTGCAACGGGAATAATATTTTGTTCTTGGTAGGTTTCCTCCAAAAGACGCCGTAAAGTTGTTTAAAATGGAAGTGATATGATATGCTCACCGGCCGTGGCGGTGACTTGCGTCAATTCGGCCGGTATGATCGTAGACATGTCCGTGAAGTCAGTCATAAGTGATGGTGCTTCTGTTAAGACACAAGATTTATAGAAATCATTGAATAATAATAATGATGATCATAATGATCATCATAAAACAAAAATCATCATCATAATAATAAGATTAAGAAGGAGAACAAGAAAAAACAGAACGCGAAGAACAAGGAGAACGAAAACAACCAATTATGGCTTTTTGGTGTGGGGGTACTGCGGGGACCTAGGGGCACCGATCGTAGGCTTATGAAATGTGAATTTAAAAGGCCGCCCTGTTGGCAGTGATTATTCTGAAATGAACATAGTGCGATTTCTCCATGTGTAAATATATATGTATGTATTCGGGCTTATTAGATAACCGTGTAATTCCAAAATGGTCTACAGGCCTAACAAATAAACCCACAAGGAGTTACATGAGATCCACCGTTTTAATACAAACATTGTTCCGCCCCTTTGCATTTCAGCTCTCAGAATTATGGAAAGACAATATCGAAACTTTTCTAATGCTGGTACATTTTTAGGGCGGTATACCCCTCCCCCCAAAATTTACTCGAATACTATTTACAATGATCTCTACATCCCCCCCCCCCCGAATTCGAAAGATTAAGGCCCACTTGGAATGTTTTGCTTTCCTTATCGCATTACATATATTTCAAAATGACTGGATCAGCCCCCTCAGGATGTTTTGCTCATAATGCCTAGTCCCCTTGCCGACAAAAAAAAATACAAATATACGTTTATATTTGTATCCGTCGGCAAGGATACTGGAGATCAAACCCTTTGCATCCCTATCTTCCTCTCTCTCTCTCCCTCTGCCTCTTTTCCCTGTGTAACTGAAGATAACTCAACAACAAAGAACGGCTTTAAAAATATTCCTTTGCAAATACGGTTTTAGCCGAATGATAAACAAGAAGCATCCTGACATTTTCACAAATTACGCTCGTTACGATTTGATTAAGCGATAATAATGGAAAGAAAATAGTTGGGAAATATGTGTAGTACTGATGCAAACATTTGGGGCTCCTTCTATCTCTCTTCCACTCTCTTACTCTGCCCCTTTTCCCTGTGTGACTGAAAATCACTTAACAACCAAAAACGGATTAACACAAAAAATCAATCATTCCTTTGCAAATACAGTTTTAGCAGAATTATGTATTATTAACGAGTAGCATCGTGACATTTTCAAAAATTACGCTTGTTATGATTTGATTAAGCGATTATAATGGGAAAAAAAATAGTTTGGGAAACATGTGTATTACTGATGGAAACCTTTCGGGCCTCCCTCTTTCTCTCTTCCACTCTCTCACTCTGCCCCTTTTCCCTGTGTGACTGAAAATCACTTAACAACCAAAAACGGATTAACACAAAAAATCAATTATTCCTTTGCAAATACAGTTTTAGCAGAATTATGTATTATTAACGAGTAGCATCGTGACATTTTCAAAAATTACGCTTGTTTTGATTTGGTTAAGCGATTATAATGAAGAAAACAAAAAGTTTGGGAAATATGTGTAGTACTAATTGAAAGCTTTAGGGCGTGGAATCGTCGAAAAGATAGAAATAATGATAAAAGAAATAATAGGAATAACAATAATAGTAGTAATCTTCCGAACCAGGGCTCTTTCTTTTCTTCTCAAGATACCTTAATTCTTCTACTTTCTGCACATTCAAACTCTCTGAACGATAAATCATCGCTACTATTTAGTCTACTGCTATGATATTCTTCTAACTCACATGACATTAAAAGAATTGAAAAGGTCACAAAATAATCTTGTTTAAAAAAAAAACCTTATCAGAACCCAAATTCTTTGATATATTGTTCTCACGCTCATTACAATGTTTCCCTTGAAATCCAGGTAAACAGTGGCATAGATAACTCTCCATGGTCTCCTCACACCAGCCGTTTTCACAGAGCTTCTTGTCACAATCTATTAAAGATAAAGGATGTTAACTAAGTTCGTGTGTGTGTGTATATATACAGTGCGTCCCAGACAAAAATGAAACGAAGAAGTATCGTTTTTTATCATAAATTAATCAAAATTATAATTTATTAATGACACATATTTGTAAAGTTTAGATCCTCCTCCTAAAAATTTGATTCAACTCATACGATATGCATATTTCACGCTTGAGTGATTATCAAAACAATCTTAAAAGAGGAACCAAAAGAGTCATTTGGCGGGCGGTATCCGAATATCAAAATGAAAATCACATTTCTAGAAAGTTCAATTTCTGCCGTTTCATATGACACCTCAATCAAAAAAATTAGCAAGGACTAACAACGTTTTGTTTGTTTAAGGTAATGCTTGCATTTCCATAATTTTGGTTTAACGAGTTCATTTTTAATGGTTGCCTGCCGTAGCAACAAATAGAGTTGATAAATGACTTAACTCCGCGTTGTTGACGATCAGCCATGCACAAAGAGGTCGCAAGACTTGATGCATGTCTGATCGTCAACGAAATTTTCTCTTTGAAATTCAGATGCCGTGTGTGTGTGTGTGTATGTGTGTGTATGTATTGGCAATAGCTACAACAAATATAAAGGCTTTTATACTAATTTTCCACCGAGTGCAATTCGGTTCAATAAAAGGGGCAATCATTCAGTGTTTTATAACGTACTTTGTACCATAAAAGCATTTTGCCACGTAACGAGAGAAAAACACCAACCCTAAACGTGAGGTTTGCAAGGTAACGGGTTAATTCAATTAATTGTGAAGATGGTGTTTACGGTTACGGCAATGATCTACATCTGAGTAGTATATTTTATGGACATGGTGTAACACGAGTTGTTTAGACCTCTATGTAGGTCAAAGGTCTAAACAACTCGTGTTACATCATGTCCATAAAATATACTACTCAGATGTAGATAATTATATTACTAATAATTTTACTCGTGTCTCAAATATCCATGGATACGATACAAGAAATAGTCATTTTAATTTTGTTTTACCCAAGCGAAAAGGACAAATTGGAAACTCTTTTTATTTTAATGGTATCCAATTTTGGAATTCTCTCCCAAAACATGTCAAAATAGTTAAGAATTTTTCACACTTTAAAAGTGTATTAAAACAATACCTAAAGCATGAATCCCTTCAAGAACAGTAATATCAGTTATCTTAAATCACAGTTCATTATGTGTAGCGCATGTTTTTAAGTTTAATCTTGCATAATATACCGTAGATCATTGTTTGCTTTTGTTGTTGTTTATGTTATATTATTTATTCGTAAAGGTCGTAGTAGTTATTAGTTGTGATATTTTATTCTCATGCCGTATTGTACACGTACTTTATAGGATCCCGTTGGAAATAAGCCTTTTTCGGCTTTCATGGGTTATCCTGTCAATTGTATCTTCTCGTTTCTTTTTGCTTTATGTATGCATTCATTGTACTATACTTGACGAATAAAATCAATCAATCAATCAATGAAGTTATGACTACGTAAACCAGCGCTTCTTAATTTTTTTCTTAAACTCAAGGCCCACCAGTTGCTCTGTACTATAACAAAAAAGAACAGATAATTTATATTTCCCTCAAGATAATTTTCAATCAACTTTCTTATGCTTAATCGGAAATTGCTGAAATTTTCACTGACCGGTTCCTTTCAGTTTTGTGTTTCCATCAAAACCAACTAGATACTGGGATGGATTTCCCTCTTTAAATTCGATGGGTAAATACATGCAGATGGAGAAAGGTGCATGTTTATTTTCTATATGAGATTTACTTTATTGAGCGCGGGGGCTTAGCGGAGAAATCCACCCCCCCCCATTGAACATGACGTTTTCCCCAAGCTTCGTAATTACGGAAATGCATGGGTTTATATTATCGAATGTTCATCAATCCTTATATTCGATAGAACGGCTTGGAAAACTATAATGTTCTCGGGGTTATGAAACTTCCATATTATGAACCCTATTCAAATTTCGGAATTATGAAACCTTACAGCATTTTCGAAATTATGGACCGTTTGAAGAACGAGCCATAGGAGTGAACAGCCCAAATGTTTGGGAGTTGTATACCCTATATCATTTTTGGCATAATAAACCACCGGGCCAGGAATTTGAAATTTGTATTCCGGAATTATGAACCTTCATAGAATTAAACTGCGGAAAATGAGTGCCCTCATAATTATCGCCTCATTTTGTGTCACAAAAAACAGAGTGGGGGGGGGGGGGATTAAATGATTACCAGGAAATCTGCATGCTCTGTATCCGGGAGGAACTCCGAACTTTCCATTCCGTCTGGGACAACCGTTAGTCGCTGTCGAAACAGGGATGAGCTTCGGAATCATCTGTACCATACTGCCGTTGGTGTGTTGCTTCGGCAGACACTCGTTGAACATTGGTAAGGTGTAGTTGAGTCCAAACAAATTCTTGTGGCAGGTTTGTATCCTTTCCATTGCATCTAATGGCGCGGGTAAGGCTGTGTGTCAGAATGATGATGGTGATAATGATGTTGATAATGATAGCGATGTGATGATAGTGTTATTGGCGATGGTGGTGGTGACGTCGATGGTGATGATGATTATGATAAAACGCCACCACCAACAACAACAAAGTCATAATAATGATAATGATTATGATAACAATAATAAAAAGACTGCTAATGATAATGATAATAATAAAATGATAATAATAATAAAAATAATAATAATAATAATAACAAGGCAATGACGATATTCGTCATTGCAATAATAATAATATATTAATGATAACAATAACAATACGAAGAAGAAGAAAAACAAACAACAAAACAAAAGTGTGGATTTTTAAATGGGGGTCTTAAGGTGGGGAAGGGCACTAACGGCAGTGGCGGATCAAGGGGGAGGGGCGGGTGCCCGGGCCCCTCTCCTTGAAAAAAAAACAGGTAAAATTACGTTAATTTTACCTTTATTTGGAGACGGCCCCCTCTCCTTGTGCTCAAAGGGAGGGGGCTATTTTTTCATCTAGAATCTTATTTATCAACGCCGCCAGGGATTACTTAAAGTATAAAAAAACAAAACATCTTTAATGATGATTTTAAACCTACACAACGCACTTTTATAAACAAAGTGTATGGTGTATTCGAGGTGCTAAGTCGGAGACAAATAAACAAAAAGTAGGCAAAACGATTTCTGAATACAAAGGAAAATTAAATTCCGTTTAAATGAGAATAATAATGAAAAATATGATATATAAGTATATATAAAGAATCGGGAAAAATATAGATAACAATAATTTAAATAGGGTAGCAATAGGGTTTGGAATTTCAAGTTTGAGGAGAAGGGTACATACCGACATACAGGATGATTACTGTGCCATATATGCACTTCCAATGAAGCTTTAGTTCACTGGTCTATAATGAGAAACAGGTTTTAATAACAAATTATCACGATTTTAGATACTCAAAATGACCACTATTTCTAAAGCCTTGAGCAGAGCCTGGTACTACCTGTCTCTGGCTGTGTCAAATAAGGAGTAGCATATGTAATATGTCGTCAGATTAGTATCAGAGTGCAGACACTGTTAGGCACAGTGGCAGACAAGACGCCGGGTAATCGTGACATCTAGGCTACAATCATTTTTTCGCCAAGATGGAAACTACTTCAATACAATACAATACAATAAAGTCATTTCTATAGCGCTCTTACAAACTAACTGTTGTTTCACAGCGCTTTACATAAAAGTTATCAAAGAATCTATAATGGTTGATCATGGTCAAAGATGAGAGTTTTGAGACATTTTCGGAAGACATCCAGCGAAGGTGCTAATCGGATAAAACGTGGAAGCTCATTCCAGATTCGAGGAGCACATGCATGGAAAGCATTGTCGCCAGCTTTGGTGAATGTTCGAGGAACGTGTAGCAGGGTGCTGTCAGTACACGAGCGAAGGCCAGGACGAGCAGACTGGTAGGATACGATGAGAGAATTTAGATACACTGGAGCTTTGTTTTGGATGCACTTGTAGACAAAAATATAATGAACATAACTTTTGGTTTTAGAATCATCATTATGATTATTAGGCCATGATTTACATTTTCTTTTTCTGCCGTAAGTTCTTACCATTTTTGTGAATCCTAAGTCATGAAGTCCTTCACGTACGGATGATGATGCGCAATGGAACACTGTTTTCCCAAGTGTGACTATTCTCACATTTGGATTCAGTACAGAAGCTACCTATAGGATGCGAACACAAAGCAACGTTCGCATTACGTTTTGCGTCGCGTATACCTGCACCCCTTCTAGTCAAAGAAAGATGGGAAGGCAGGAGAAAGTTAGTCTGCAAGCACAGACCCTAATTTGACACTTCATCACAAATTAATTGTGCCTTGAGAGAAGCCTAGCCCAGCTACCTACTGCAAACTAGGAGAAAGTTATGACCACCTTTACCTCTCCATTTTGCCGCCCCCTCCCCCCTCCCTGACGATGACCTGAATTACAAGTTCTCTCACATTTCAGTGTATAAAGACGAGGTTTCAACTCCCATCCACCACCACAGTGCCACGTAAATTCCTGGGCCCACGCTACGTCATTGCAGTGTTGCATAGCAAGTACACATGTGGGGCTAGTGGGGCGGGTTGGGCGGGAGGAGGAATTGAAAGGAAAGAAATGTATGCAACCCTTTTCTGAGTTTGGTATTGGCTTCATGGATTCGAAAGTATTATAACCTAGACTCAGCTATATGTAAACAGATTTTTTTTACAATTCGAAATGTGGTATCAGTACTTCAAATAAAAGTGAATGATTATTGCTTCCAAATTATAACATTCTTAATTCAATGCTTACAAGTAGAAGGCGCCGCTCTTTAAATTTCAACATAAAGTTGCAGTAAACTAAAGCCGTCATTGTAAAGAGCACATAAAGAGCATTTCCAATTATTTGCTCCCCATAATTTCTTGCCTTAGCCATAGCCGCAATAGCTAATATATAGGCCATATAGCCCATTTTCGTAATGTGATCAAATTAAATGCATGAGTCATTGGTGGCTTCAGTACAATTTATATTATGCACCTGTGATGAATAATTGTATTTCAATATTCAGAATGCGAATTCCATACATTTCGTGTTGTTAATTAGGTAAGGCAAGCCTTACTGTTTGTCCCACCTAGCAACATCGAATGTATGTAATTTGCGTTCTGAATATTAAAATACATTTATTCGTGACAGGTGAATGAATAAATCCGTAATGAAATACTTAACAAGGACTTATACCTGATTCAAATGATTTTATTTCTCATGCAAAAAACATAATACAAGAATAATTATATCATAACAAATATATGAAACGACAATTATAATGGAATAAGCACGAGAAAAGAGGAATTATCTTGAAGCAGAGCTTGTTGAAGTGTTAGTTCCTCAGATGCTATTCTACAATAAAATACGAACAAAGTATGCTTCAAAATCAATAAATAGACAAATATGTAGCTAAGAAATTCTAAATTGGGGGGGGGGGGGGTGGGGGAGGGGGGGGGGGAATACAAAAAGAAAAGAGGGAAAATGGAAGAAAATAATAGAGGGCAAAAAGAAAGGAAGATACAAAAAAAGGGAAAATGAATGATTGCAAAAGCTCTAGGAAATGGCCTATTCGAGTATTCGACTCAGTGACCTATAATAATAATAATAACAACATTTATAATGCGCACATATCCACCCCAAGAGATGCTCAAGGCGCCTAACAAGGTAAGTACATTGAACAAAAATAATTTAACATAATTAAATATAATTCAACAACGGTAATTACATCATATTGTGAAATACATTACGTCTTAACTAAGGAATTCGGACATTAGATAGGTTTTCAGTTGTTTTTGGAACACATTTTGATTGGCTGACATTTTGATTGAATGGGGTAGGGAGTTCCATAACCGGGGTGCAGCAGCTGTAAAAGCTCTGTCTCCCCAACTCCTCTTTGTTCTTAATTGTGTTAAATTTGTTGAATTAGAGGAACGAAGACCTGTACGAGAACTTAAAGAGATATTAAGAAGAGAGGAAATATATTCAGGGACTGATCCATTAAGTGAACGGTAGGTAAGTAGTAGAATTTTATATTTGATACGCTGTTCTATTGGAAGCCAGTGAAGGTTCTTGAGTATTTGAGTAGTATGGGTCGAACGTTTAGATTTAGTGATAAGGCGGGCAGCTGAGTTTTGAACCTTTTGTAGTCTGTGAATTTGGTATTTAGGAAGTCCATAAAGGAGAGAGTTACAGTTATCGAGATGAGATGTTACAAAAGCATGAATCAATTGTTGAGTGGTTTGGGGGGTTAAAAATTTCCTTATAGCGCGAAGATTACGAAGATGATAATTGGCAGCTTTCACACATTTTGAAATATGTGCATCAAGAGACATGCTTGTATCGAAAATGACACCAAGATTTCTTGCCTTATCTGAAGGAGCAATGTGCACAGAACCAACACGTATATGAGTTATAACAATCTTGGAAAGTTGTTGTCTGGAGCCTAACAAGAGAAATTCTGTTTTATCGTCATTTAGTTTGAGATAGCAATCATTCATCCATTTTCGTACATCATGAATACAACTTTCAAGATCTTCAACACATTTTTCTACCTGTTCCTGAATGGGAAGACACGACAAATATAATTGTACATCGTCTGCATACATATGATAGCTTATATTGTGTTTACTGATTATCTCATGAAGTGGTAAGGTATATACATTAAACAGATGGGGACCTAAAACAGATCCTTGGGGCACAGAAAACAGAAGATTAACAACCGATGAAGTTGTATCATGAAGGTCAACCGCTTGAGATCGATTTGAAAGGTAGGAACGAAACCAATGAAGACATGTTCCACCAATGCCAATCTTTTTTAGTCTGTCGATTAAGATATTGTGGTCAACAGTATCGAAGGCGCAGCTGAGATCTAACAGAACTAATGCAGTAACTTTCCCCTTATCCATATTTATTAAAATGTCATTTTGTACTTTCAACAGTGCCGTCTCCACACCAAGGAATATGTAATGGACTACAGTGCTAAATAAATTGAACACAATGACATTTCAAATCATTCTTAGTTCTTTAAAATCAATGATATGTTTAAAGATGTTTTTAAATATGCTTTTAATGGAGCAAATTTATAATACCCCACCACAGAAGTTTACAAGATGTCCATTGCTTGACGCACGCTTCACAAATGAGCTATAAATACATGCAGTTTTTCAAATCTTTGCTGATTTCAACTCTAACCCTAACCCTATATAGACTTTACCTTAAATCTCAACATATGCTTTGATTGCGCACCATACATAAACCCTATTTGTGGGCTATCGTAAGTTAAGCCGAATTTCTTTTCTTCTGTCATAGGGCCAAATGGCTTTTTAAGTCAGAAAATAGAAACTTTGTACAGGCTGATATGGTATTCTGGAATCAATTTTCATTTTATGATATTTATCATTACCTTACTGTATATTTCATAGGTTGACAATGTTTAACATATGTTAAAAAAGTATGTGCAAATTTCTCTTTACGTTTTTTTCTTTCTTTTGAATTTTATTTTCTTCATTACCCTCCTTTTTTAATAAGGGGGGGGGGGGGGGAGGGGAGGCGCAAAACTCTTTACATTCTTATACTTTCTTGACCGTCTTCTAAGGGTAAGAAGGCTATTCTCTCACTCTCTGACCTCTAATATGGGATTCCCCCCTCCCCGTCCCCTTTCCCTACCTCTCTGATCTTCTCTCCTCCAACTAGCCCCCCTCCCATTTTGATATCTGTACTACTTAATGGGTATTGAATAGCGCTTACATCTGTTAGAATTAACACTCCTGGCGCTCTGCAATTAGTAACCCTGCTTATTTTAGCATGGCAGCCGGTATTGCGCTCCAGCATTTCAACGAAAAAATGGGGTTTTCGATGGTTTAGTTAAACCTGACTGCCAAGAAGGCATGGGTATGATTGCAAGTAGGTAACCAGGGGCCGACGACTTTAAGTCCTATCCGAAGGATTTGGCAATGGATATTAATGCCTTACGAAAGGGCACTAGCGCATCGAATTGGTTTCGAACCCAGTACCTCCCGGTTACGAGACCACTGCTTTACCACCGAGCCATCGCGTCTCCTCCTAAGTACCAATTTGAATTACGTCATCTGGGTTTAATAAGTGTGGCAATTGTCTCTCTACTCGTTACTTCTCGTTCTTATTCTTGGCTGGCGCTTGACTTGAACGATCTGTCATACACCCCACACACACATACACACCACACACACCCACACACACAAAAACACACACGTTGATGGTGTAAATCTATCGAGAACTTATAAAATACATCAATATGTACATATTCGATAACACGCAATTTTGTAAAAATACAACATACCGAGGACGGTCTGGAAATTTACTGCATATTTTGTTCTGTGCAAATAGAGCCCCTAAATTAACAATTCCCTATTTTAAAGGGCCTCAAATTTAAACAATTGACACGATTGTTAAACAGAGGACGTCCTTGTTTTGCGAGTACCCACCCACCAATCTACCCACACACCCACACACACACACGCACACACACATACATACACGCCTATTATGTCCGAGGACCATGGTAAACTACCTTCTTTTGAGGACAGGTGTTATCTAGCTCTAATGGACATAATGGTGAAAAGACTCCCTAAAAAAGAGAATGCTTTAAAGGACGCTCACAACATTGAATGCGTTTTTTTAAGTTTAAACATTTATCATAGACCTATACATCAGAGGACATGATTCTTGTTTTGGTATACGTCTGAGGTGGCTTTCTCTAATGTTAAAATGTCATATTTCAGCATTCGACAGAGGTCAACCACGCACACTTATCAAGATTGCGTGAACTTACGAGGACATTGTATTGAATAGGTAACACAGCTCAAGTTTGCATAAATGTACGAGGACAACATGTGTTGCAAATGAAACACAGTCTTTGTTTGTATAAACTTATGAGGACATATAAACTTTATCTGTTTATTTTGCACAGGTATTTCACACAGATCAAGATTGCGTAAACTTATGAGGACATTGTATTGAATAGGTAACACAGCTCAAGTTTGCATAAATGTACGAGGACAACATGTGTTGCAAATGAAACACAGTCTTTGTTTGTATAAACTTATGAGGACATATAAACTTTATCTGTTTATTTTGCACAG